CAATATATTGTAGTTGGTCAGAAAACCTTAAATGATAAAGCATTTACAGGACCATTCTGTGATCAAGAAAACTAAAATGAGAATAACAAAAGTGATGGTTCGCGAGTCCTTCAGTCCTTGAAGATTAGAAACATACATGTAGACAATTTAGACAAAAATCATACCATCTGCAAGTTACAAGAAATATATGCAGTCCTATAGAAAAAAAAATAAAAACCTAGCATAAGTTATTTCTACAAAATATAAATTATCAAAGTTATTTCAAGAGGTGGCTATCTTGCACCAGCATTACTGGAAAGGTAATTAGTCTATCTTTAAAAGAGAAAAATTCTCAGCCAAGTTCCATCTAATCTTGAACAGACAATTTGAATTGCATCTTAAGTAATTCTAAACTTCACAAAAAGATAAAAAGCTCCCAACTCATTTTATGAAACAATAGCTTTTTACTAAGATATAATATATAGAGAAACATATACATGTGTATAAAATGCAAGTAGATGAATTTTCATGAACCAATCTACTAGCACTGAAGATGGTCCCTTGGGTTACCTTTTCCAAACACAGTCACTCCCCAGACTGCCACCAAGGATTACACTTTCCTGATTTGAAACAGTACAAATTAGCTGTGCTCACTTTTATACTTTATAAGAATAGAAGTACTCTGTACTCTACTAGGTTTTTATTTTTGATATGTTTGTGAGGTTTATTTATATACTGTGGGTAAAACTGTTGCCACTGTTGTATATTTCATACAGAAATACTATTAGTATAATAGAAAATGTATTAATATAGCAAATGTAGTATTAATTCTATAGTTGAGGTTTTGGTTAAGTGTTGCTATAAACATTCTAGAACAGATGTTTTAGTGAACATATACATGTATTTTACAAGGTGTAGCTCTAGGAACAGAATTACTGGATCCCATGGTATGAATATTTTCAACTTCAACAGATTCTGCCAGATGGTTTCTCAACATGTTTGAGTCAATTTACGTTTTCACCAGCAATGGCTTCCCTCCTTCTTGGAAAACTGTAATTTTTACATCTAATAGTCTGCTAAAGCTAACTGTAGATTAATGTCACTTTAGGTGTGCAAGCTAAAGCTTTAAATAAAACATTAGCAAACAAAATACAGTTTTTAAGAAAAGAATAACACATTATGACCAAGTATGCTTCACTTCAAGGTGACCAAAGGGCATTACAGTTAGATCTTTATATATATAATTTAGCTAGTAATAAGCAGCTTAAAGAGTAACACATGACCGTATTTTTTAAAAAAGCTGAGAAGGCAGCTGATGAAATTTAGCAGCTATTCTTTGTAAAATCTCTTGACAAAATGAGAAAGAACTTATTTAAATATAATCTACCAAACAGTAACATAAATATTGTAAATAACAAAATACCAGAATCATGTTCATTAAAGTCAGTAACAGATTGGATCCCTGCTATTGGATCCCAACAGTATAGTGGTATTTTTAGACGATTTTAAGATTTCAGAAAAGAAACCTGTTAGAGATTGGAAAAGATGATAAAATTTGTACGGATGCCACAATTACATTTCTAAAAATCCCAAGAGACATTAGTGGAAAATGTAGAATAAGATTTACTAAGCTGTTTATAACACATTTCTTGCATACAAGTATACAAACACTAGGTCTCTTCTTCATTATGAGCCCCTACATGGAATGGGAGAAACCTTCATAATAATGACTACAAAAGTGAATATATTTAATAAAGAAATGAGGCTTAAATGAAAAAAACCTGTCAAATCTTATTAACTGTTAATAAGATACAAACAAAATGGCACAATGTTCTTAGATGGGAAGACAATACATCATGTGTCAAACTTCTCACTGTTAACATATAAATTCAAGCTTATTTCACCCCTAATTGGATAAAGTAAGATTAAGTGATCACACACACAAAACATTCCATTGGGGCTGGGGATATAGCTCAGTGGTGTAAGTGCCTGCCTGGCAAGCGCAAGGTCATGAGTTTGATCCCTAGTACCCAAAATAAAAATAAAAATAAAATGATCACAAACTTCAGACGCCCAAGAAGAGACAAGACAGTAAGAACAGGGTAGGGTAAGATAAGAAAAAGCTCTGCTTTGGCACAAAGTCATTATATATATAAAATGAAGCCATTATGACATTGCCATATAAAAAGAGAAATGTAAGAGAAAAACAATAGCACACCGACAAATCTCATGAAAATTTCATGTGACAAAATTGATACTTTATTGGGAAAAAAGGTACTTTAATAAAGGGTGCAGGATTGGCAACAAGGAAGAAAACAAAAGAAATATTTTAAATGCAGTAAAGATTTAAATGCACTCAGGAGGCTAAGGCAGGAGGATGGCCACAAGTTTGGGCCAGCCTGGGTTACACAGTGAGTTCAAGGTCAGCTTGAATTACATGAGGAGGCCCAGTCTCAAAAAGGAAAAAAAAAAAAAAAAAAAAAAAAATCAAGATATGGTATGTACATGCACCATTCTCCATGATTAATTTATTGTAAGACTATACATACTATTCAATGATACTTTAATACAGAATACTTCAAAATTTTATAGACATCTTCCAAAATGTCTAGATTTTATAAAGCAATATAGATCCATGTGCACGAATATAGTTTTCAATGATAAAAGATATTGCAAATGGTCAATAGATGTATGCTTGGAGCAAAAAGCCCTGCAAATAAGGGATGTTTACATATAAAAAACACAAATTTTTAAAATGTAGGAACATGGGAACACATTAATAAAAATTAAAACATGAAATAAGTTACTAAAAGTTTAAAACATGAGATGAAAAATGCAACTATGAAGGCCAGGGATGTAATTCAGTGGTGCAGGCACAGTGTGAGGCTCTGAGTTTGATTCTTGGCACCAAAAACAAAACAAAAAAAACCTTAAATATGCAAATATGCACCAGGCATGGTGGTAAAGCCTGTAAAACCAGCATTCTGGGAAGCAGAGGCAGGAGGAGCTCAAGTTGACCTCAGTCTGAGAAACTTGTTTTTCGAAGTAAAAAATGAGAAGTATTGGTAATGTAGCTCAGTGAGAATGTCCTGTGTGCAATCCACAGTATCACAAAACAAAACAAATATGTAGTTTATCTAAGAGTAAAACCCAAAGTTAAATTCAGATGGTTAAGTTTACATGGAAAAAGTACTTTTCAGCAGAGAAGAGAGTTGGAGAAAACTGCTGGTAACCAAGAAAGGCTTAATATGTTAGATAATTTAAAAAGAACTTAAAGCTAATTAAAGATAAACACAAGAGATAAAAATAATAAAATGAAAGCTAAATGTAGAGGTATAACTATGAATACGTGTGGTAGACAGAAATGGCCCCCATGAACTTTGCCCTGGTGTTACTTCCCATGAGGCTAGAGATGGGGCAAAGGGGCTTCACAGATACAATTAAGGTTACTAATTAACTGACCTTAGTGTACAGAGACTGGGTGTCCTTATCAAAGCCACAAGAATTCTTTATAGGAAATTGGTGTGCATGGTTATGCATGCCTGTAATTCCAGCTACTTGGAAGGCAAAGGCAGGCATCTCACAAGGTGAAGGTCAGCCTGGGTAATTTAATGAGACCCTATCTCAAAATACAAAACAAAAAGTTGGAAATTAGCTCTGGGTAAAAAACTCCAGTATTGGGCTGGGGATTTAGCTCAGTGGTGTAAGCACCTGTTTGGCAAGTACAAGGTTGTGAGTTCGATCCCCAGTACCAAAAAAAGACCACAACCCCCTTCCCCCTAATACCAGTGTTTGGGAAGCTGAGGCAAGGATTTCAAATCTGAGGCCAGCCTGAGCTACTATAGCAAGAGCTTCTCTTAAAAATTCAAGAGCATTTTTCTCTGGCCGGTAACAAGGAAAGCAGAGTCAAAGTGTGAGAACATCTGACACCCTTGCTAGGTTTGAAAATGGACAGGGCCATGTGCAAGGACCAGTGAACAATCCTAGAAGCTTACTGACAACCTGCAAGCAAACAAGGACCTTCACCCTACAGCCTTAATGAGTCTGGAAATGAATTCCTCCCAGAACTTTCAGCGAAGAGGCTATCTCCTCAGACAGCCTCATTCAGTCCTATTAGGCCCAACAGAAAACCCAACTGAGTCCGCTTATGCTTCAGAATTGTAACAAATGGGTCTTGCCATAATCTACTAAATTTGGGGTAATTTGTTATGCATAGAAAACTATTCACTTATGAAGCAAACTGAATGATCAACAAGTGCATGCAAAGATGTCAAAATTTATAGTAGCCAGGAAACCGGAAATTAAAATGACACTGAGAAATCACTACACCCACCAAGCCTTTTTCTTTTTTTTTCTATTTTTCTTTTTTTAATGTTATAGCATCTATTGCCAGTAGGTATAAAGGGAAAAGTGTTTTTTTACACATTTACTGATAGAAATATACATTGTTCCAGACTTTTTTGGAAACAATCTTGCAACATGTATTAAACATTTTAAATATACATACCCCTCAACCCAGCAATCCCAAGGACTTTATCACACAGAAGTAAAACCATTATAATCACATATATACAGGAATGTTTACTATAGTTGTAAAAAAAAATCTGATAACAAAGTAAAAACCAATATGGGAGAGATTCACTTAATTGTGGTATGTCATCTCTATTACACAGCCATTAAAAAGGAAACAATAGCTGTAAAATAGGATTTACGTCAGAGATTGTTCATGGAGAAAAATGAGATGCAGACATTATATATAATTCCATTTATTTAAAGCAAATTGCCCCGCCAAAAACAAATCTCATCTTACTTGCATAAGATTGTGTGTGGCGCGAATTTGATTTATGCATGTACTGACTTGTACAGTGCTCATGACACGCTGAATTTGAAAAAAAAAGTTGCAAAGTAGTATGCAGAATAAGACAAATAAAGCCCCTTATGTATTAATTCTGTGTACATTTGTGAATGAATATTAGATATGTATTAGGGAGGTAAGAATGAAGGGCCACGATGGAAGATGATTGGTTTTACCATTATATAAATGTTCATTTTATTATTTGTTTTTTGTATTCTTTTAACAGTAACTTAAATTGTATTACTCACTTGTATCATTCTTACAGCTTCAAAAACATTAAATCATCCTAAATTTTTCTTCAGCACTTACCACTAATATTTAATACAGTTTGTTTGTTCTCAACTGAAACATAAATCACATTAGAAACGTTCGCGTCTGCTCTCTACACATTGCCAGCATCTAAAACTTTTAGCATAGAGTAGGTACTCAAATATGGTGGGGCGAGGGGTGCCATTAGCAAGCTATAGACATCTCCTCTCCGAGGTGTGGTGTTCAGTTCCCAGACAAGCAGGACTAGAAGTGTGCAGCATGACAAGGGCACTGACTGGGCTTTCTATTGCCTTGGGCACCTGTAAGGTCAGGTCCAAATCCTCCCCTAACCAAGGAATAGAACTCAAATTTAAGATCAGATCCACAGGTCTAAATGAATTTGAACACTACTTGGGGATTAGAAAGGATCTGTTTTGTTTTTGATGCTTGACAGATTTAGAATTTTGAAATATATAGGTTGATGATAAGCAACAAATATTTGATTTCCCTCTACATGAAAAGGCACCAGAAATGCTAAGGGGAATATAAGAAAAAAAAATACGGTCTCATCCTCAAGAAGCTTATAAAGACAGAAGTGAATTCCTTAAGTCCCTGACTTACAAATATTCAAACTGCGAACTTCCACAGACACGAATGAACCTTGCATTACAAGCAGTAGATGCAAACCAATCGCGGGAGCTGCTCGTATGTCTGCCGGACACTGTCGCAGTTGTGGTGCACATGCTTCCTATACAGTGTGATAATGCACAGTAGCAGTACAGTGCTCTTTTTAAGGTACCTGTATAAGTATTATTTGTAATATTTTCGTGTTTGATTTTTGTTTCACACTATGTATTTGTCTCAAAAGTGTTGGGGGTTATGAATGAGTCAGACTTAAAGAACATCTCCCGAAATGGAACTCACTTGTAAGTCGGGGACTTACTCAAGTCATTATCTGTTTTATTTTGTTAAGTAACAAATAAACAGCACTTAATATACTGAAAATCTGGGTTGAGGATGGTGAATCAAGAAATTTAACAAAATCACCACCTCTTTCTCATGCATAGGAAAAAAATCCACAAGACTATGAAAGGTGATGTATAAAATAAACTGATCATATATTTCTTATCAAAGTTTGTACTCCCTAAAGACTTTCTAAAAATCACACAAAGTAAAATTTTTGTGTATTTTATCGGTAAAGGTAAGCTATATCAACTGCCTACACCAAGGGCACTATATTGTGATCTACAACTAAGGTCAACAATAAAATCATTTCTGCCTCCAGAAAATGTTTCTAAAGAGAAAGAAGCCTGCAAGCTTTAAAAAACAAACAAACCTTAGCCAGTAGATACATATTAAGTAACTCACAGAAATAAAGTTTATTGTCTTGCTTGCTTAAAAGGCTGACCATGAGAATGCAGGTGTCTATGAAGCCGATTTTGTTTCTTCTGGATATATAATCAGTAATGAGATTTTGGGATCATATGGTAGTTCTATTTTTATTTTTTAAAGGAACCTCCATATTTTTCATAATGGCTGCACTAATTTACAATTCCACAAAGTATTAGGAATTCCTCTTTCTCTGCAGTTTTCCCAACTCAAGGGATACTATTCAACCACACAAAAGCACACAATTCTGTCATTTGTAAGAGCAAGGAGGGACCTGGAGAACATACTAAGTGAAATAAACCAGAAAGACAAACACTAAATGATCCCACCTTGTGGAATCTAAACAGTTGATCTCATAGGAAATGGTTAACAGAAAATGGAGAGAATAAAGGGCAGGACACAGGGGAGAACTTATTGAATGAATCAATGTTACCTTTAGAAAGAAGGAATAAGTCTAGTGTACTACAGGCATACAAGGGTGCACATAATTAATAATACATTATATACCTCAAAATAAAATAGAGGACTTTGAATGTATCAACCATAAATGATGTAAGTTTAAGGTGATTATATGCTAATTACCCTGAGTAGACAATTATCTAAAATGTACATGAGTCAAAACATCACATATTACATAAATGTGTACAATTATGTTAAATTTTAAAAGGCTGACCAAAAGGAATAAAAACCAAAATGTTATACAGTTAAAAAAGTCTGCTTCCTTCTGACCTGAGATATATACAAACAAGTACTATTTCTTTGAAAATGAAAGTTTTCATGAAAATGAATTTAAGTGAAATGCTGCTTTAGCTGAAACTCTGTACTTTCAAAATCTACATGAAGAGAAATTAGTCCCTAACCCTGTTAGCTGCAAGAGGACACTGCAAGCACTTCACGTGGTATACATGCTGTAAGCTTAATGTTCCACTCACATGTGTCAGATAACCAAACCTCCACTCTATCTGCAAAAAATGTGAAAAAATACTGGTTTTCAGTCAACAAAATACAGCATCATTTACTATGTAAGCGTTCCTACACAGCAACTGAATACTGAATTGGAGAAGGGAGGAAATATTCACAATGAATCAACATATGAGACCACTAAGTTTTGCTTTTTCTAAAATATGCACTCAGTGAAATTATTTTAGCAATATGATATTTATACGTGGGAAAAGATCTCAGTACATTTTAAGATGTTTTTTAAAATATAGTTAAAACCACCCTAAACAGAACTCATTTTGTAAAAATGATTGTAGTTTTTCATATTACTCAGACACTTGTCTGATATTTTCTGACATATGTAGACACAACACATTTGGGCTTATATAAATAGTTTCCTAAAATAAGATAATGGCTGATATTATACTAGGGGGCTCTGAAATACTTTTGATGTCCTTCCTCAGAATCTTTCACCAATGACAACCAAACTTGGAGTTGCTCACTTTTTGAGGTAGAAAGTACTTTACAGCCCACTTTAGGAGAAACAGAAGGCAGTAGTGGCCTTCATCTCAAGCTGATTTTTTTATTTTCCCTACAACCTCACCAGTTGCTCAGCATCTAAAGTACAGTGTTTATGATGAAATTACTTTTGCTACACGATTCTGTTAGAGTGGGTGTGGTGGTGCACACCTGAAATCCCAGCACTCTGGGAGGTTGAGGCTGAGGCAGGAGAATTAAATGTTGAACCCTGCCTAGGCAACTGGACAACTTAGCAACTTACTGAGACCCCACCTCAAAATAAAAAGGGACTGGGGCTGTAGCCAAGTGTGAAGGTCCTGGGTTCAATCCCAATACTGGGGGGAAGGCGGACTTATGTATGAAAAATCACCATCTTTCCCCACTTCCACCAAGGGTAGTTAAAGCTAGTATACTTAGTATCTCTGCATATTACATATGAACAACAAGTAGCTTACTGCTACAACTCATGATTAACATAATATTTTGCTTCTTAACAGAAGTTCTTCAGCTTGAAAATTCATTATTTGTGAATGATGGGTTTCCCTTTCAGTACTCTTAATTTTATCATTCTATTATCTATACATGTGTCAATTTATCTACTTACCTACCTACCTAGATCTTTACATCTTTGGTTTGAGGTTACATAATTGAGAATCTTGTACATATAGTGGACCTTTCAAGGGCATAAAAAACTATGGCACATAAATTAAAAGCACTAACTCTTACATTCTAGTGCCAGTCAACAGACGTCTTACTGTGGTTCTTCTTACAATCGCTGAGCTAATTGAGCTCTCTAAATAAGTGCACAACAAAATCAATGTGAGGTTATCATTTGGACTAGTCTCCATATATGGTGAATTGCTAAATCAACCAAGACTGAACTTTCTAAGAAAAAGGCCTTTTCTATTATTTGGGTTCAACAGATTCTACTCAAATATCAGATTCTTCCTTAAATTTGACTAACGAGCCTTACCTTTAGGAATAAAGAAGGGTTTAAGGTAGACGGAGTCTAAGTGACACTTAAAATGAGTCACTGCTGGATTTTTAGATTCTGCTTTTGCAGGTACACATAAATTAAATTTTTTGTTCTAGAGGACTGAGGTTGAAGCTCAGTGGTACAGCACTTGCTTTACAGGGATGATAGAGGGCCTGGCTTTGAGCCCAACACTGAAAAAAATAAAATCTGTTCCAGAAAACTATAGATTCTGATTTTAGAGCTGCAGAGAGAGCTGTATGTCATGCTTCTTTACCGAACTGGAGTGTCCTGGCCAATGCACTGAGGAATTAAGTGGAGAGATACTTCATGATCATGGTGTTGGTATTAAACGGTCTGACAGACTTCAAGATGACTATGAAAATACCTCAAGTGCCAGGATAATGCTGCAAACACTCACAGCCTCAGCAGTCTTGGGAAACTCAAGATAGGTCAGAGTACTTACTATCTGACTTAGGCTGACACCAGCAGTTCACCAATTCATGAATAACTTTGCCATCCTCTTGATGTTCTAAGCTAGATTATTCCAAAATTATTCCAACAATCGTGTTTCAGTTCTTATAAAAAAGGACAAAGGGCATTTCCAACACTGCTAGGATAAAGATGACAGAAGAGGAGGTACTTATTAGATTCCATTATACTGTGACTCCAAATTGCAACAAGAACACTGAGTTTGAGCAAGCAAAGCCTTTGAAAAATACTGAAGAGGTAGAAGATGTGAAGAGCTCATGATTGCCAAATAGTCAAATGAAGAAAAAAATATTAAATTTATGTATGTGCAGTTATATGAATTTAAAAAATCATTTGGTCAAACATTTGAAAGATAATCTATTTGTCCTTCAAAACTGTCACTGATCCAACTTACAGGGTATTTTAGTTTTACTGGTTTTTCAAAGCCCCAAATTTTATTTAATGATAAACTTCTCTACTTCCACATAATCAACAATTAAGATCACTTCATTACTTGGATTCACATATACTTTGTCTAATACCCTTTAACTTTCTGCATGCCTCACCCTAATATCCCTCCAACAAAAGCCTCAAATGGATTCACTGCAAGATCACAGCTAGATTCCACGTCTGACAAATACTGCAATTCATGAGACACCTATACCACAGAATCTATATTTGTACACTTTATTTAAAACCAAATAATACACTTAGAGCCACCAAAAATGTATTATCTTAATGAGCTTATCCACAACCTGAATTTACAAAGGAAACTTCTTACACCACAAAAGTTAGCATTTGATTAATTTATATTAATCATATTATAACTAAAATGTAAAATACCTGAAGATCACACTCTGGCCCAGGGCTCACCAGCTGGGAGCTTGGGTGTGGAGAGAAAGGTTTAAATTGATGATACCTTGAGATCAGCTCTAAATAAGGTTGAGAAGACAAAATAATAGATTAGAATTCATAAGGAAGGTGTTTCTCCTAAAAACAGATATTAGATAATACAGATGGGAAGGGGCTAGGGGTTATTTCTTAATCTGGAGTAGAAAAAGTATGTTTTCTCACAAGAGGCCAACTTTAGCCAAACAATGAAGAGAAAGCAGGGAAGGAGGTATGTGGCAGATCCAAGACTTTCTAATGCTGATAATGCCAAATTTAGCAGCTCTCCACATGGCAATTAAAATACCATTCTCTTGAGACATTTTTAGAGAGAGCTAACATACAACATGCAGGAAGTCATTTTACATTAACAAGGCACTCACTGGTTCACAGCCTGCTCAAATACACAGGCAGACATTAATCTAAATTAAAATTAACTTGCTAATTTGCTTCAAAGGGATGACAAGTGTGTGGTCCCAGTTAAATCAAACATAAAGCCTGATTAGCAAAGATCCAGAAAATTATGTCCCCTAAGTACCACTTCAGGAATACTGCTAGAATAAATGGGTAGAATTTACGGATCCTTTTGGTCTAACATTTGTGACTATTTTTATGATTAAAAATATATATAAAGAATCTGCAAAATACTTTGTCAATCTAGAATCCCTCACTTTGGTATTGACAACCAGTTGGATGATAGATGTGGCCAACTAAAAAGCTTTTAGTAGCCAAGGTAAAATGATGCAAATAACTGTTCTCTGCTTTCAAATACAGGCGTTAGTTTTCTGGACTTTGCCCTAAAATGGAATTTATGAATTGGTACATTTCACAAAAATATATATACTTTTGTACAACCAGAATCCCAGTGTTGAACACTTAAAGTTCTATTACATAAACAAGTAACATTAATGGAGGCAACTTCTGAGTAATTAAGATGAGTGATTATATACTCAGTAGGCTGGAAACAGCTTTCAAAATAGGTTGAATAAAATTACATTTAAATCTTTTTTTCATATAAATTCAGCAACAATGTCTGTTGGTTGAAAACATCACACAGATATACACCAACCAGAGAGATTATTTCCACTCACAAAAACACTGATAGTTAATTTTAAGCCACTCTTTCCAATGAAAACCAAAACTGATTCTAAGTCTTTCAATCTGACTGTGACAATACAACTTAAATGACAAAGCCTGAGAAAAGCACCAACATAGATTTTTAAATTGCATCCAACCATCATTTCAGATGTCATAGAGTGTTACTTTAGTTAAAATGGCAGCAATGACAACGAGGTAGATATGAGAGATGCCACTTAAATACTTAAGACTATTTTTAGGTGGAATTTTAACTCGTTCAGGTGTTTAAAAATAATTGTTACTAGTTGAATCTTCAACACATAAGAATTTTACACGCTCTTGTCTAAAAAGGAGATAGACATATGAATTACTAAAAAAGTGACTTTTAAAAACCTACAATGATAATGAGGTTTCACAATTTAAGTGAATAATTTCTCCTTTAACCTGAACCTGATTATAATTAAACAATAGCTATTAATTCTCTACTGAAATTTCTAGGAATTCACATTCGAAATTCTAAAGTATACATGGTGCTCTAAAGAGCACAAAGACAGAGCATGAAATGTCCCCTGAAGTCCTAGAGGTTGAGCAAATACATTAAAAAGACATTGATGGTCACAAATCAGGACCTTCACAGATTGGCAAGTACACACAAGCACACACACATGCTCGCTCGCTCTCTCTCCATCCCCTTCTCTCCTCCTTTCACTGCCCCCCAAACACAAACTCCATCTCCATCCTCACTTGTAAGGCTGCATTTGTACTCTTTTTTTTTTTTTTTTTTTTTTTTTAAAGGCACCTCTCATTTTCTAGCTATTGCCTTCTGGATGATTTATATTTTGTTAAAAAGCCTGAATGTTTAATGAAAATAGTTCAGTACTGAGAATGGAGTATTTTTTCAATTCACATTTGAATAGCCAAGTTTTCTTACATTCAGATTTTAATAAACTAGAACGACAGTTTTTAAAACAAGCATGCTAGCCTATAATGAATTAAGAGTATATACAGTAATTCAAACATTTAGAACTATATATTATACTGCAAAAAGCACAACATTCATCATACTCATTATCTGCTGTGTATACTACCTCCCAAAATGAAAATACAAAACAGTAAAATGCACCTATGGTTTTTATATATATATATATATAATATAGTCTATATATTATATATATATTTATATAATATATATAATATATATTTATAAAATATACATACATTTTAGACATTTTCAAATAAATCTTCATCATTATCTTCAAAAGAAATTTATAGCAAGAATACTGAAGGAATGAAATTCAGATAAACAAAAAATTTTCTCATTTAAGTTCATTATCAGTGATGCAGCTTAATTTTCCCCCTTTACTCATAACTAAAATGATTATAAAAGCTAAATACGTTGCATAACTATCTGGTTAATGGCAAAAATTGCTAAATTTGTTCAATAGAAAAATACTGAAGGTCATTAACTCACTCATGTTAAATATCTGTCTATGGTCTGAGTAACAAATGAGCTCCACATGGCAGCTGAGTTTTGAAAAGGGTACTGCAAGCTCCCAGAGATGTATCCTTAGCATATGGAAATAAGGCAGGGACCCATGCCACCTGATTTTCATAATATTCCAATACATTCCATCCAAAACATTTAAAATTCAAGCATTATAAAAGTATTGCAATGACTGAATCTTCAATTTTGCCAATTTTCTTGTAATTTTCAATAGGATGGAGGAAAAGTCAGACATGTGTATATGTTACCATCTGAATGGAAGACAACTTTGGCTCATTTCTAGGCTGGGTTCATACAGTGCTAGTATATAAGATTCTTTCTATGTACTATCTCAAATGGTGGAGCACTGGCTTCCTAAGGAACTTTAAACAGTTCTATCATTTGTATTGCTAGCATATCGTTAGGTTATTTTCCACTCACTAACAGAAAAAACTATAACCATGGGAATAAAACAAACAGGGAAAACCACCATTTTGGTTTTCAGAATTTCTGTGATGTAAGTAAAGCAGACACTGCAGACCTGGAAGGTAATTAAAGCAACTGGTAAGAACAATAGCTTTGTGGTCATCCATTATAGACGTTATAACAAGTATGGGCACCTGATTGGGATTGCCCAGTATTGTAGTACAAACAAAGGTTAGCAACACCCTTTCTTCACTTCATGAAGAATAGAAAGGAATTTACTACAATGTAGAATTCTATATATGCAGGGAAACACAAGCATTTACCTGGTAAATTATGTCCAGGTTAACTCACTTGACCATAAAAAAATCTTTCAAGCCCACTTGTTAACCAAAGCACCAAGATGAAATATTTTCAATTATTATCATAACATCACAAGAAGATGTACCTATCATCAGAAATGTCACTGCCATGACAATGAAATGTAGGGATAGCAATGCAGGAATTATTTAAGTGGGTTTAATATTTATGGATATGATTTTTTTTGAAGACTGAGACCCATGGTATGCACATTTTTATGTAAAGCAGGGCACTGCGAATTGATTTTTAATATCTAGATTAGTTTCTGTCATTTGGAGCAATGAAGAGAAAGAGCATGAAGAGAGGCATACCAGTTGTAGAGACCGAAGTTGCATGAGAAGGCATTAACTGCATATAATAGGGTCATGAGAATCCCAAAACCCAATCTGTGGGTCATAGGTAAAATGGATTCAGAAAAAATATTAATTTGCTGCACATCAGAATGTGTATTTCAATTAAAAAGAGGGAAGATTTTTTAATCCACAAAAAGTATTAAATTATTTCATCTAGATTTCCAGGAGAGTCTTCTTAGTGATACTTAGTGATACTAATGGGGGGAGGGGTGCACAAAATACTTGTTTTAGTTAGTACTGCTGTAAAAGCAGCTGCCTGAAGCTAACCATGCTCTTTGGACTATTAGGACATAATAATTATGAACTTTTTTTTCAGGTGTCAGATAACATGAATGTGGCAAACAAGGAAGAAAGGGGAGGTTATATAACTATGGTTAGGAGAGAGTTAACAAATGAGTATCAGCAATTAACTTCCTTTTCAGTCACACGAAGGTAAAATTACATCAAAATGAAATAATCACTCTGGTACTATAAATATCACATGAATAAGGTAAATTTTAAAATAGAAATTATTATAAAGAAATGCCCTGTTTATCTTTAAAAATAAACAGAACCTCTAATTTGAGTAAGTTAAATACATTAGTAAAAGTAAACTCTCAACTATTCTTCATAAATGGTGAATGTTTTTAACAGCTGAATTTTAGAATGGTACCAAATCTACTTTCAAAACCGTACGTAATAAAGGTAATTTCTTGCAAATGAAATATTTGTTTAGCACTTCTGAATAGTAATTTACTTAACATATTATTGCATCTTCGTCCTTAATAGGTAAAATCTTTGCCATGTGTTTTATGCAAATAGCTTAAAGGGGAGCTAAACTAAAAGCTCATTTTAACACTGGTCTGGTCATTATAAACGATGGGATTGGTACAGCAGATACCAACCTTTATTAAAGGTTACTTTTTTAACTACCTAATATGTTTAATAGGATTTCTCAGGGGAGAAGTAGGTCTAAGATTCTGCTCTGCCTTTATCATTCCCAGCCATTCAACTTTTAATTATCCACTACAGCATGCCCTGTTTCCTCAATAAGGACACGCTAAACGTGTGTTTGCTCAGGTTTGCCTAGTGAATTAGAATTACTTCGGAAGTGTCTCTCTGGGGGAAGTTTGAAACAGTTTTCAGGTTCACAGATTCAACTGAGCTTGCAGCAACCTGAACAAACCTTAGTTTTAGAAAACAGTACAGGAATTGCAAAACTATACTTTAACAAATGTTTTCTGTGCTCCTTCAGCAGAACAAAAGGGCAGGGACAGTTGATTTTTCCCTGGTCTTCTGTATCTCTTTGTGCAGTTGATTATTTATAAAGAGCTAGAAGGTCAAGGTGATGCATCATGTCATACAAAGACTTTGGCCAGTGCATCAGCTCCAGCGCTGGCTATATAGCATTTGGATGGGTGGAAAGCTACATCATGAATTGATTCTTCAAATTTTTTCCGATGAGCTGTGAACTCTTGGATACATGTCTTACTTTCTAGATTCCATAAACGTATTGAACAGTCATGACCTATATATATAAAAAAAAACAATTGAAAGGAATGATTACATTCACATGAAAACAATAAGGCCAAATAAATAATGCATAATTAATGTACTTACTGCCAGACATCAAGTAGAGGCCATTAGGATCAACTGCTAAACTTGTAACGGCTTCTAGGTGGGCTACCATTGAGTGGATCAGTTTGCCTTTGGAAAAACAGATTGTTACACTTTACTGAGAATTTTCTTCATCTTGAATACATGTCAGCTATCACATTACACTGGTTGCTCTAATATGTCCTTACTGTTTCAAGAACTTTTTCTATCAGCTAACACAATTGCCCTCCTGCATCTAGTCAGATATTGATGAGGAACAAAAATAGCTCAAATTTCGGATTATACTTTTGTCTTTTAAACCACAAAGTAGAACTCAGAATTTTTATATGGTCATTAACAACGATGTAGAGCACTGGCTTCCTATTTCCTAATTGTCTACTTTTATCACTTTAGCTTTAGACAAATTATGGCTTGATGGGAATAGAGGGTACAAATTCAGAGGAAACTAAGACAAACACAAATAGAAAACATGCACAATTCTGGTGGAAAAAACACAGAAAATTAAAAACATAAATTACGAATTATCATCAGCTGAGCACATAAGCAAACGTCATCATTTTAACAAAGGTCATCAACAGATGGTCAGGTAAATACAGCTGCTTTGTTCCCAGTTCAGCTCTTCATGAAATTTCCTTTATACTAGAGAAATGTAATCCAGTAAGAACTGGGAAAGCCCCATGCTCGATTCCAGTGAATCAGGACCAAAATTTTATTATAAAACAGAAAAAATAAGCACACGGGAAAAGTAATAAAACCAAACGGTTTAGCAGTTTTCTGTCTACAACACTGAACAGCACCAATCAATAACAAAATAACTGTATACTGAATAATGCTATTCCATAATTAAAGAATTATGAACAAAATAGAATGATACACTCTAATTCTAACAGTATTTTTCCTTTCCCCTCATGTATTGCAATAGATCACAGTAAAAGATCATTTTTATTGGTATTCAAATAAATTTTTCATTACAACCTTAGTTATAACTGTGGCTCTCACATCTAAATATAACATCTACTCACCATTACACAAGCCACAATGACTCTGTTGTATACTGAGGATCAGTCTTAGCACATATGAATGGAATGAACAGACACTGAACCAGAAAATACTTTTCAGTGCCTACTTCCTGCCTATCAAGCCAACAACAGAGACAAGCTACTTTTTAGAAGAGACTCTTTTTTGCTTTTATCAAAAGTGAATTCTTAATAAATTTTTACCTGTATTGTTATCATAGAATTTGATGTGTCTATCTTCATGAGCAGTGATACTGATGGGAAGCGTGGGATGACTGATGACTCTATTTATTTGGCAAGAGGAGCTAGACACTAAAAAGGAAAAATTTAAAAAGCAATAAAAATTAATCCAAACTATTTTCTTTTCTTTTTCTTTTCTTTTTCTTTCTTTTTTTTGGTCTTTTTCCTTTTTATTGGTACTGGGGATCGAACCCACAACTACCTGCTTGCAAGGCAGGCACTTACGCCGCTGAGCTAAATCTCCAGCCCCTCAAACTATTTTCTGACAAAGGAGCCAAACATACTCACTGGCTAAGGAGGATAGCCTCTTTAATTAATAAATGGTGCTGGAAAAACTGGCTTTCTATATGGTGAAGATTAAAACTAGACCCATGTCTATCATGATCATTAAAGGCAAAAGAGATCAAAGATCTAAATATTAAGACAGAAACACTAAATCTTCTGGAAGACAGATAGGTAGAACTTTGGAAGACAGGTGTAGGCAGAGACTTTATGAACAGGAATTTCCACAAAGAATCAGCACCTGGGATCTCATCTTATTAAAAAGCTTTTGCATAGCAAAAGAAATCAACAGAATGAAAAGACAATTCACAGAGTGGAAAAAAAATTATGCCAGCTGCTCCTTCAGGCAAAGGACTAATATCTGGAACACATGAAGAATGGGAAAAAAATCAATCAAGTTCCCCCAATTCAAACACCCAATCCAAAAATTGGGCATCTGAGATGAACAGATAATTCTCAGAAGAAGTACAAACAGCAAAAAATATATGAAAAAATGCTCAACATCACTCATCATTTGAGAAATGCAAATTAAAACAATGCTGAGATTCTCTCATTCCAGAAAGAATGGCTATTCTATTATCAAGAAGACAACTAATAACGAATGCTGGTGGCACTGTGGGGAAATAGCAACCCTTCTTTGTTGTTGGTGGGAGTGTACACTGGTGCAACCACTGTGGAAATCAGTGTGGAGATGCCTCAAAAAAGTAGGATTAGAGATTCCATTTGACCCAGCTATTCCTCTTCTGGGTGTCTTCCTGGAAGAATTAAAAGTATCGTACCACAGCAATATATGTGCACTTGATCACATGGACTAATTCTTGATCAGTTCTACTTGATTTAGATAAAGAAGTGGTTACTTCTTTAGTTTCAAAATTCATACTATATATTTTTTTCTCCAGAGGTAACATGCCATTAAGCAATATAGTTTAAAGTGCTCAGCAGGAGAAAAAAATAACAGAAAAGGAACACTGTAAGTGAAATATATGTCCCAAGAATAGCTTCAATTACTCTGAGCGCTAGAAATGAAAATGGTGAAAATCAGATCACAGAAGGAAGATATAAAACAATAAATCTTACAAAGGAATCCTCTTAAGAAAGTTTCTCCACTTTATGTTAAATCAGAGAAGTAGACAAACTGCAAAAAGCACTAAAAATAAACTGGAGGTCTACCTGATTTTACAATGAATCCAAAAACAATCCTCCAAATAGCTTTCGACTTAGACATGATTAACTCTTCAGTGAGTTCAGAAGTATTAACCTTTGCCTTTATAAGAAGGGTAATTTATTCTTATTCTAACAATAAACATCCTTTAAATATACATTTAAACCTGTACAGGAAAATTTTCTCTCTGGAACATGTTTAGTTTGAACAAAAACAAAACATACTTGAAACCCTACTGAGTTCCAAATTTCAACATGATAGTCAAATAGCAAAGGGACAGGTCAGAGTAGAACAGAATAAAAGATGTCATTATAATATGACATTATAATTCAAAATAATTATCACTTAGTCCAATAATGTTGTTTGGTTAAAAGCATTTCTCATAGTCTTTTGAAACTGTTTCCATGGCAGAAAAAATGTCTTATGACTCTATGAATATATCTCTTACAGGAAAAATGGGATCATCTAGTTCAATTTATCTACCTTATCCACCTTATAACAAGCTTATGGAACATATTAAAAATCAACCATTTGTCCCTCAGGAAATTCAAAGAAGTGGCTACACTCTGTGAAGGTTAATTTCAAAAATGCTAATATCTTTCCAAATTTCATATTACCTTTTAAATTTTACTACTGTGTTTTAGATCATATATTTACATGTGATTGTTTTTATTGAGAATCTAACACCTGTATTTTTTAGTTCAAAAAATTCACTTTTTCTAATTGTATAATCTCAATTTTTATTATTTTTATCTTTTATATCCAAATAGCTCAAAGTTCTATTCATGCCAACTTCCCCACATAAATCCTCAAACATATCAGAAGAAAACAAAGAACAACAGATTAGTAAGGGAAAATGAAAGCCAAAACCAGGATAAGTGAACTTTCTGGAAGGGAAGAAGGAGAGAGGAGGCAAGGGAGAAAGAGAAAAATAAGCAAACACATATGTGCACACATGCCTGTACACACAACACTTGCACATGTACCCATGTAATTTTTTAAAAACTAATTTACAAATTGAAACAACAGTATATGTATACCCAGTTTTCTTTATCAATTGCAATCTAAACTGCATTGTCTGAATTATGTCTTACTACGGAAAGCAAACTATCTAACAAAAAAACCCAAAAAGATCTGTAGTAACTTCATGAGAAATAATTACTTCCTGACTTTCTCTATCTAATAAGAAGTTGCAGGTCTGAGATTTGGAAAGCCATGTGATCTACATTCTAATCAGTATTGAGCTGTATCCAGTTATATTATTAATAAAATTAACAATGAAATAAAAAAATTTATTTTCTATTCAGAATAAATACTAACTTCTTAAAGTAAAACAAAATCATTTGGCATAAAATCAAACTTAAAAAATAAATTAAACTTTGTATATCTGTGGACTACTCAAATACTATTTCAAATAGAACAGTTACAAATGTACATAAACTTAACTCATTCTTAAAAGTCTATTATAAATCACTTTATAAAAATTACTTATTATAAATTACTTTTCTAAGTAAATGTGTTCTGAGATTTAAGAGGTATAACACTTTATGGATAGTGGTTATAATTCTGATCAAGTTAAAAGTTGATCCAAACACACAATATTTAAAATTGGTATACATACTTGAATCTAGATTGGATTCTAAAGTGAGAATACGTTGCTGCGTTTCCATATTAAAGATGCTCGTATATCCTTTGCTGAATGATGCTACCATATGGCTTGGATCGCTGCTCACTAGATCCACAGAGGCAGGAATTCCCAACTCTAATATAAAAGAGTCAGAATATAATCAAAGAATAGCAATGAAAAGGGTATATTTGAAATGTGATTAAAGAAAAAAGCAGAAGAAATATAATGGCATGATTTCTTTAAAGGTAAATAAAGCTTACCACGAGAACAACAATCAGCTCACAATCATTCAATAAAAATTCTTTTGGTAATGTTTAGTTTTATTCTATTTTATTTTTATTACCCTTACCTATTCAGTCTATCTTCTATTATTCTACTAGCATATTCATGGAGTGCAAACTTTCATTTGAACAACAAGTAGAAAACAAATATTGACTACAAACTTTGCAACTTCTACCTTAAGCTGGGGCTTAGAGTGGTATAATGGAAATTCTTAAAGAAAAAAAAAGTAAAACAGATGTGGTGGCACATGCCTTTAATCTACGTAACTAGGAAGATCCTGTCCCCAAACAAATGCAAAAAAAAAAAAAAAAAAGAAAAATCCATATTGGATTGGGAATGTAGCTCAGGAGTAGACAGCCCTTGCCTGGCATGCATAAAAACCCTGATTGATCCCTAGCTCTGGAAAGAAGGAAGGCAGAAAGGAGGCAGAAGGAAGGAAGGAAGGAAAGAAGGAAGGAGAGAGAGAGAGAAAGAGAGAGAGAGAGAGAGAGAGAGAGAGAGAGAGAGAGAGAGAGAGAGAAAGAGAGAAATTAAAACCTTAGCACTAAAATTACAAAATTCAGAAGGTAAAATTTTTATTATGTTAGAATCATATAAATCCAACACACAAGCAATTCACCAAAGTCTAAAGATAAATTAAGATAACGCAATAAAGAAGGTACTTTTATTTACTATCTAGAATACTTAAAATTTGAGAAACAATTTGTAAGCATAAAAACAGAGTAATATATAAAACATAATGTGACTTTTTTTTTGGTATCTAACTAAAGCAAGCTGACAGTTCAAAAATGTGTGTAATTCAGAGGATAAATGGCCAGTAAGAAAATAAAAGAAGTGCTCAACATAATTAGCCATCAAAGAAAAGCAAAACTGAAAACTAAAACGAAATACTACTACACACCCATTACAATGGCTAAAATTAAATAAACTGACATCAATATTGGTAAGCATGTAGAGCAAATGGAACTCTCATGCACTGTAGTTAACACTACAAAGTGCCACAATCATTTTGAAAATAGCAACTCTGCTCATAGCTCAAAGCTGAAACAAATCAAATGTCGCTAAGAGTCTTTGTCAAGAGGAAAATTAATAGATAAATTATGGCTTAATAAAGTATTATTAAATAATAAAGAGAAATAAATTGACAGTAACTTGTGGAAACATTAGTAAAAAACCAAATTCAAAAACGTACACGCTATATTATTTCATTTGTATGAGGTTTAAGAAGAGATGAGGCAATCTATGATTTAAAAAATCACACCAATGTGTTCTCTGGTAGGGAAGGAGGGGAGGGGACTGAATGGAAAGGACACAAAGGAGCTCTGCAAGTTGAAAAAACTGTTCTGCTTCTGATCTGCGTGAGTTTACAGGGTTGCAGCCTTTCATCAGACACACTGAAACATACGTTTTTTTTTTGGTACCATCAATCGAATTCACAACCTTGTGCTTGCCAGGCAGTGAGCTATATCCCTGGTCCTCGAAATGTTTTCTTAACATCTGTGTTTTTCACTGTAAGTGAATCATACCTTGATTTTTAAAAATATAAAATCTGTATTCTCCCAAGTACTGTGCTTTTAAGAATTACACATAAGTTGGAAATTCAAACAGATACATTTTTCTTCATTCAAAGAAACTTTCAAATTGAATTTAAACAACAAGTCTGTAGAATCATTTATTAATTTCTTGCTTATTTACATTTGGAATGAGAAGTCTAATAACTGATTGAGCAAAATAAAATTCTGAAGTATATACCTTGATTATCATTAAATACAGTTAGTGCTGGAGCAACTTCAGTTGTGTTCCACAAACGAAGAGTGCCATCTGCTGAACAAGACAACAAGCGCTGATGCGCTGCGCTGTAAGCCAAGCCCCAAACTGCATCTGTGTGGCCGAGCAGAGGGCCTCTTAAAACAGAAGGATCTATATAAAACAGCAAAAAATGCAAAATAAGGAGAAAAAACCCATAAAGATACTTAGGTTCCAAGGAGGTAAAACACAAACAAAAGCACAACAATACAAAACACATTGCTTAGTTTCAATTATTTTTCTGAAATGCAGCAATTAGAAACAGATTTAGAAATATACAAATGTAGAGCTTAAATTTTTAAAAATAAAAAGCATGCATTTGTCTTGCTAAAATATTAGGTATATCCTTGCTTCTTTCTTTTGTCCTCCCTGGATTTACCTAGATTTTTTAAAAGTAAGTTAATATAAATCATTTTAATTTAATCTACCTTTGGAGAATCGTGACTCACGCTCCCCACAGAAGGGAACAGTGGTCCTTCCTTACTATGAATTTCTTCAGCACTCTGACTATACCGCCTCTGGCTACTTCTCCTAGCGTACAATGAATGGCAGTTATTCCTGGGAGTGCCCAGGGAGCATGCCATTTATAGTGATAGGAAGTGAAATGTATAGGAATCCCTAAATTCTCATACAGTTGCAGCTGGGTGGCGGGTCACTAGGCACAATTTCATGCTAACAGTCAAACTGGAAGCTTTATTAATCTTCACAAAGATTCTATAAGTGGTGATTTCAAGACAGCTCACAAGTGAGGTCCAGAAATGCCAATGGTGGTATGTCTTACATCCTCAAAAATATCCTAAAATATTTATTTAAGACACTGTATCAGACACTATGATTGATGCTGATGCCACACACATAATTAAGACAGTATTATGCTTATCCTCAAAACACAATATTAAACACCCAGCAACTGACAGATACTAATGACATAGAAAGTAAATGGGAAGATGTAACTTTTCAAAGATAGCAGCATCTAGAGTACATAGATGTCAATCAATAGAGAATACAAGGAAGGTATGCCTGGCAAGGAGACAGCATCTACAAAATTACAGAAGGAAAAGGAGTCTAGAGTGTGGCATTTGAGGTAGGAAAAGGATGAGGTATGGGCAGATAGTTTATGCTAAGATTTCTGTGGGAGTTTTGTTATTGTTGTTTCGGTAGCGGGGACAAACTCGCGACCTCGCACTTGCCAGGCAGGTGCTTATGCATCTGAGCTAAATCCTTGGCTCCTATGATAGGATCTCTAAGACACTTTAAGGAACTTGGAAATTATCCTGAAAGCTATTAAAGATTGACTGAACAATTTCCCAGGAGCAGTAGATAGGTCATTTGAGTTTTTAATAATATAACCTTGCTGTGGTATAGAAGACCATCAGAAACAAGATAAAGGGGTTGGTTGGTAAAGTGGAAAAGTGATGATAAAAACCTAAGGCAGAGCAGGGATACATGGGCTACAGCAGAAGGAGTAAATTCAAGAACTACTTAGGGAACTGTACCAAAAAACTAGAGAATAAACTATGGACAGCAGAACAAGGAGTCAAAGAAAACTTAGATTTCTAGTTTGGGTTAGGTTAGTTTTCTAGTAATGCCAGCAACTAAACAAGAAAAAAAAAAAAAACAAAAAAACAAAACGTGCTGAGATTTAAGGACAGTGAGACAACCAGACTGAGATTTCTTGTCAGGTGTAGTAGTGCATGCCTGTAATTCCAGCACTTGGGAGGCCATAGCAAGAGAACTGTCACAAGTTCAAGGCCAGCCTGAGAGCTACACAGTGAATTCAAGGCCACCCTGAACTGCACAGTAAGACTCTGTCTCAAATAAAAAGAAAAAAATTAAAATTAAAAAATTGAAAGAAAAACAAAGAATTTTCTATAGATACTCTTGAGCTTAAGAAGATTTATCAGTACAGCCTAGAAAGCCACAGAAGTAGATTCAATCTATCCAGAAATGCACACTGCAAAGAATGAGTTAAGGCCTGAGTCTTGAAAAATAACACTGTTGAAGGAAAGAAACATAAAAAGATTCCACAAAGGAGAAACCACGGCAAACTGTCAAGCCAATATATAGACAAAATCCTTTCTTTCTTTCTTTCTTTCTTTTTTTTTTTTAAACCGTACCAGGGATTGAACTCACAACCACAGGCTTGCAAGGCAGGCGCTTATGCCGCTGAACTAAATCCCCAGCCCCCGACAAAATTCTTTAAAAATGGGAGTCTAAAATGGAACTCTAAAAGAATGAAACATTTGCAAATTATAGCTGATACATCTAGTAAAAATAAGTCTTAAAATAACCTTGAATTAGGTAATTAGAAAGTCACTGACAGTCTTGCTATACTTAAGTCATATTACTAAACACCATAACGCAGAAAGATGATCCAAGGGAAAGGACACCAAAGCCTTAACTAGTAACTATGTTTTCTAGATAACATCATTAAAGAAACACTGATGATGAGCAAACGAGACTACCCAGAAGCTAGAGAGGGAAATGGAGTTGACAAAATTGAGTCAACTACGTCATTCTCTTACTCTTAGATACTGAGGAGGTAGAGAAACAGCAGAGAGGGTAAGTGTTGGTGTCACACACCTATAATCCCAACACTCTGAGAGGCTAAAGCAGCAAGATCACAAGTTCAAGTTCAGCCTGGGTAATTTAGTAACTTAGCAAGACCCTGGGGATATAGCGAGTACAAGGCTCCTGGGGGGGGGGGGGAGTTGGAGGAATTCTTATTTCTTATATTTATCAATCTAAAGTGATAGTGAAATTAAAACACACTTTTATGACAAATATGACACATTAAATCTTTTGACAGAAAACAAAAACAGCCAATTCCTGAACAGTTTTTATAGGAGACCTTATAGTAACGTTTAGTGATGTTTTACAGTATGAATTTATGACTTATAATACTAATCACAAGACTAACCGGCACTTCTTAATTTTGATGCCTTTTAAATATTTTGGTAGCATGAGCTTTACAACTCATTACCCTATTATCTTTCTCAATAACTGATCAAGGAAATAATGCCAACATTCATTTTCCTTTAGTTTTATGTCAAAAACAGTGAAAAAATATGATTGCAGATTAGTAATTTTGTATGAAGTACCATATAAAGGTCTAACATGAAAAAAACAATTATCAACCAGGCCAATACTTCTGATCAGTAAGACTCTGGGGGACTGAGAAATGTTTTTGAAGGAAGAATATGTTTTAAAAATGATTCCCTAATATAGGAGTTCTTTTTAACAAAATAGATATGCTTCTCTTTTACTTATCTAGTCTCAAAAATATCTGGTTTATCCTTTATATACTATAAAAATGTGTGTAAAAAGATGTATTTTACTCTTTCAAAACTTTTGAGAAGTCACATACCGTAAGAATCATAGGGATCGATGTTGGGATTGGTGGTATTCCAGCCCTGGATCAGTCCATCAGTACCACCACTGTAACACTGCTCACCATTGCTGCTCATTACCACACAAAGCACTGGACCTCTGGGATATGAAATAAAAGAACAGGTAACTAAGTAAAATGCTATTCTCAAAAATCAATTCTATAATATGACTCGTTAAAAATAAGAATGCTTATTCAAATGGATTTGTTTTTGTTTTTTACAATGAATAAAAATATTATCAGAACATTGTTCATTTTTGTTCCTCTGATAAAACCAGACATGTGGGACCAAGGATTTAGCTCACTGGTGCAGCATCTGCCTGGCATGTGTGAGGTCCTGAATTCTATTCCCAGCACAAAAAGAAAAACAAAACAAAATAAAACAACCAGATATTGTAAACTATGGCCTCCAGACCAAATTCATCCAGTAGTCTGTTTTTGCAGATTTTTAAAAGGTTGTAACACAAAAAACAAGAATATGTTAAAGAAGGACCTGGGTTCAATCCGAGGACCAAAACAACATAATAACACAACATAAACCAAGCATATGTAACAGAAAGCACATAGTCTAAAAATATCTACTATCTCACCATTTATATATGAAGTATGCAATCTTTGTGCTAAATCAAATGAACAGACATGTCCCTTATACTCATAAAAAATATGATCACAACAAAAATATCTTTAGGTGGTACTAGGGACAGAACCTAGGGCCTCACGTATTCTTCCAATTGCTAAAGACCCAGTCTTTGAATATTTCCGTGTATGTTATCTTTATAAGTTAAAAAAAGATAAAAAGAAAGAAACCCAAATCTAACTGCCTCAACTTTATTTTTAAAATACCAATACATACTATTTAAACATCATATAAATAAAGACTTATGTCAAAGATCTCTAATTTGATAGCATAAACTTTTTGGCATATTACCTGCAGTTCCTTCTACAGTCACAAAAAAATACCAAGTACCAAAAAGACATAAATGAAAGGAAAGAAAATAAATATAATCAGATTGTTTTCACAATGCTGTTGGGTTAAAACAAAGAAAAGTCATACACTTACTTATGAGCCCTGAATGTATAGATGGGCTCTACATCAAGAGAAGTACTCCTAAAACAGAGAGCAAAGACACCGTTATTCAGTAATAAACAAAATGAATGTGTCATAACAAATGCTTTCAGAAGTATGGACACTGTGGTAATACACAATTCTCAACTACAGGGTGCATAAGAAAGCTTACCTATCTCAACACTTCCAGCATGTCAAGAAACTAGCTTCTTTCTCAGTAGGAACACCCTGTCATTATGCTTTTAGCTTTGACATCTATTTGCTTAAAAGGAGAGAAACTTTCACTCAAGAAACAACATGGGCTTTGAAGGGATAAATCTGTGAATTCAATTTCTAGTTCTGTCATTAACTAACTTTGCATGTTAGTCTATGATAACTTCAGATTCCTCCATATTCAAAATAAAAGAGAAAAACGGAGATAGCTTACAATATATGAAATTAAATGAGATTCTACAATTTAAAAAATAGCCTACATGACGGAATCATCCAAAATGGATTTCAACAAATGGTATTTAATTTCCTTGTCTTTCCATGAAGGTTACTATGTTCATCCCTGGCCAGGGATACGGCTCAGTCGCTCAGTGTCTGCCTGGTAAGTGTGAAGTCAAGAATTCGATTCCCAGTACAAAAAAAAAAGTTATCCTTAATACTTTACAGACTGTTCAAACCATTAGTTTAATTACTATTAGGAATATTATTATAGGTACATCAAGTCTTTTTGAAATTTTGAGTTTAAAGGCAAACAGGCCACTGTTACTTACATGTGAAGGTTATTTTTTACCACAATATCACCAGCAACAGATTCATTTCAGTATTTTTCTAAATTTTAGTCAAGAATATATCACGAACCACTCATCTTCCTAGCTTAATGTGACTGTGCTAGAACCAACACATTGTGACCAAAAAACTAGAAAAGCAAAAGTCACAACGTATAAACAGAACCAAATTTTTCGCTGCTGAGAATTATTAAGTCCATGTGGTTTTTAACTGGTTGTACTATCTGTTATAAAACTGTTAACTCAAGTATTTTATCTACTCTACGTACAATTCATAGCACAAATAACATCAATCTCCTTTAACTGCTAACAGATTTTCAGTAACAGCAGTAAAGTTTCTGTAACCTTTTTTCCATGTAAAGTTCAGCTGCAGTTTTATAATAACAAAAGTGACTGAGACTACATAAAATTTCTTGCTAGCAGACACTGGTTCTGGGCCATATGGTCTAAGGAAGGAGAAGTGATCCAATAAAGACCCTACCATGTCAGATGAGTCTCATATGACGATTGAGAAAAATGTTTATAAGTGAATCATGTCTTTTTCTACTTAAATCAAGGGCCCAAGGCAAGGTAACTAAAGGCAAAAGCAGCATCTGTCAGGACCTAAAGTCTTAGGGACAAAGGATAGGGCCAAAGAGAAGTCTCCATCCCTCTTTTTTTAAATTTTATTTTAAAAAGAATGAAGCCAAACAAAACACAATAAAGAAATCTGAACAGCTGTTATCTCGTTTTGAAGTCCTGTAATGCTTCCCCATTCCTCTTAATCAGCCCTTTCTCTCTTCCACTCTGTAAGTTCAAACTGAGTTAAAAAAAAAAATAGAAGTTTATTTTAAACATACCTATTTGGACCTATTTATAACAGTAGAAATTTTCAGTACAGGTAAGGTACTCCCTAAATATGACATCCATTAAAAACACATGATACATAAGGACTTTATCAACATTCATAAACTTTGGGGAAAACCATAAGATAGTAAAACATTTTCCTATGTGTCACCTTTCCAACCTAACATTAGATTGTATCAAAGAAAAACACCTTAAATTATGTGGCATGGTCCAGGAAGAACTAAAGGAAAAATCCAATAGCAAATAATTAAATATTTTTCCTGCTAAAAAGCAACTAAAATATTCAAATAAATTAAAGTAGAATATTCTCACTTTTTAGCTGGGGCTGTTTTCTGCAAATTCCACATTTTTAATGTATGATCTTCTGATGCTGTTATCAAAACGGGCTCAATGGGGTGGAAAGCAAGGGCTCGAATGCCATCAAAGTGACTTCTCAGTGTAAACTTAGGGTTCCAAGTTTTTCTCAATGCATCTTTATTGTTTGCTATCTATTAAAGAGAAAATCAAAGATATTGGTACTTTTAATTCATGAAAAGAAAATATCCTTTACACTCCCAACATTAATTTCAATTTGTTAGTAAACTGTCATTGAATAACTTTCAAAACAATCAGTTTCTTAAATGTTAAGAAACCAGATCAATAGAAAAAATTAGCAACATGTCAGTCTTCTTTCTCTGAAGAACTATGAAATGTATAAGAGACTTATAATTCAATGTAAAAAGTGGATCAAATAATAATACATAACAGATCTTCACTAGTGTTGTAGTTAGATCCAGAGTGTCCCCCAGCAGTCCCATGTTGAAGTCTTGGTTGCCATCTGTGGCACTACTGGGAGGTAGTGCAATCTTTAGGAGGTGGGCCTAGGAAGAAGTTAGAGGTCACTGGAGATCTACTTTTGAAACATGATACTGAGACCCAGGCTCCTCTTTTCATTGCTTCCTGGCCAGCATAAGGTGAAAATACGCTTCCACAACGATGTAAGTTGGTCCAAAAACAACAGGCCAATCATGTGCTGCAAACTCTCAAACAGAGCCAAAATAACCCTTCTTTACTTGTAAACTGGTTGGTTATCTCAGGTATTTTGTCACAGTAATAAAAAGCTAACTAACACAATTAGGATGTTAAGACATTCAATCTAAATTAACAATAGTTGTATTTTTTTGTTTTGTTTTGGTTTTTTTTTTTTTTGGAACTAGGAATTAAACCCAGCATCTTTGCACTGAGCTACATCCCCAGTTTTTTTGATTTTGAGTCAGAGTCCTACTAAGTTGCCTGGACTGGGCTCAAACTTGTGATCTTCCTACTTCAGCCACCTAGTGTGGGATTACAGGTATATCCTCCACCGCTGGCAGCTAGCAAGGTAATTTTGGGTAAATGTTGAAACATTAAGTTGACTTTAAACCTAGTAACTATAATCACACGTTTGAAGTTTTCAATACTATCTAATAAAAGCTAAGTTGGTTTTTTTTTTTTTTTTGTCTTTTTCGTTTTTATTGGTACCAGGGATCAAACTCATGACTGCCTGCTTGCAAGGCAGGTGCTTATGCTGCTGAGCTAAATCCCCTGCCCCAAAAGCTAAGTTTTATTCACTAAACTATAAATAAGATTTTAAACTAGAAATAGAAAATGTTAAAAATGGAAGAAACATCAGATACTACCAAAAATGTACTCTGCTGGTACAATAAACAAACCCTTCTGTTTTCTTCACGGTGACTTCAACAAGTGAACAAACATATTCTACTATTCTTTCTTTCCAATTAACATGCAAACTGAAGTAATTGTTATTTAACTTCACACTAACACTACAAATGACCTCTTTACTCTCAAAGGTTATCAATCATATTAAGTTTAAACAAGAGTAGGGTAAATGTTGGAAATACACTGAAAACTTAGAAAGAAGACAGTTATACAGTACTAAGAGTAGCTGCTAGTCTGAGCATTACCCAATATTTTAAAAATTCTAAACACTTTAATTTTCACAACTCCTCCATGAAGTTGGAATTAACATTATTTTTACTAGATGCACCAGAAAAAGAGCAGTGAAGTTATTTGCCCAAAGAACCATGCCAGGAATCAAACCCAAACACTTTAGCAACAAAGGTCACAATCAATATAAACTGTATTGCAGAATCCAGAAGTTAAAAGATATGCAGAAAAAGAAAAAAGGAAAAAAAAAAAAGAGAAGACATGTCACACTTACAGTGATAAGAGAACATACACATCATGCAAGAAACTACCACCATAAGAATTGAGGCTGCTTATCCCAGAAAAGAAAATCTTCCTAAGTTCAGTCATGTTCAATCTTGTTCAACAGCTGAATAGTTTTCACAAGTAGAAGAAATGAAATTCTTTTTGAATGAGTAGGTAGTCACCAAAATGGTTCCCAGTCAGCTCCACTTCCTCGTATTTACATCTCATTAGCTCCCTCTAAACATCACAGAGTTTATCTGTGTGTTCAAAAGCATACAGCAGAAGTGGTAACATATCAATTCCAAAATGAGTCTACATCATCATCCATCTTGGGCACTCATTCTCTCTCTGTTCACATGCACTCATCCTGCAGGAAGACAGCTGCTATGTTGAGTAGGCCATAAAAAGGCCTGCCAAGAACCAGAACCTCCCAACAACTACATGAAGAGCTTGGAAAAAGATTTTCCACACCTCAAGTCTTCAGATGACATTGCAGGTCTTGCCAACATCCTTGATTGCAACTACATGATAGATCTTGAACCAAAACCACACAGCTAAGCCACTCCTAGATTCCAGACCCATAGAAACTATGAGATAATATTTGTTGTTCTAAGCTGTTAAGCACTGGCGTAATCTGCACACAGTAATAGATTACTAATATATTCAATAAAATCAATAACTACTTTTGGAAACATACCAAGGGACATCGCACAAAGTTTCCAAACAATTAAGAGCTATGAGAAAAGTATTATTTTTTCTAGAGAGAAGCTAAATTCCACTAGGAATTTAGTCTTTAAAGATTTAATAGGGAACAAAAGTTATCTGTTTTTGGGAAGCAGAATGCAAAGTTCTCCTTTCATCCATGATGTACTAAATAATCTGGATGACTATAATAAGACAAGCAGAAAAGCACACAAAATATGGAAAACCAACTCAAAAGTAAAGAAAAACCAACCTGTCAAGGGGAAAAACACAGGCCTAAGGAGGTAAACCTATTTGGGGTTGTTTCTCCCCAGAGATGTCTACTGATTCTAAAAGGATGGCTGAGAGATCCAGCAGTATTTCTCTGATAGTCTTTCAGCAACATGGGGATACAAAGTGCTACACAGGACCAGCCAACAGAGTGGGGCACGGTAACTAAACTAAAATCACTCTGCTTTGGGTTAAGACTGCAAAGTATTATATCCTGAAAATAAAGGTGAACTGGAAGAAGCCAAGCCACTGGAGGGGCTGTAGATCACCTCAAGAACTGAGCATGGACTATAGTGACTCCAGGTTTCTATTGGCTGCAGACATCTGAGAAAAGAAAATCAAAACATATTCTCTGCAGGAATATATTGTCACATGTCTGAATAATATGGCTATTTGGACACAAGAATCATATATATATATATATATATATATATATATATATATATATGGAATTAAGACAACATAGAATCATATATAAGGAATTAAGACAACAAATAAAAAAGCAGAAATAATACATAACAGTAAGAGAACTAATCTTGAACTTTCAATTTAGTAATTCAAGAAGAAACAAGGCAAAATAAAAAACTGGAAGAAGTTTTAAAACAAAAATAATGACTGACTCAAGAAGCAAAGCCTACAAAACCCAATACATGGGTTTAACTACAGATTACAGGTTACACTTTACATGTAACTGAAGAGAAAATTAATGAACTATAAGGAGTCATAAAATTAAAGGAACAGCATAGGAGATAAAGGCTACAAAAATAAAGTCTAACATATAAAATTAGGTTTAGAAGGAGGAAAGGTAGGTACAAAATCAATATTTAAGGAGAAATGGCTAAGAAATCATACAATTAAAGAAAACATAACAATCCATGAAAATCTAAGAACTTCAAGAAGTTTAAATAAAAGCAAACCCTTGCACAACAACAAAGAAATAATATTAGAGAAAATAAAAATCAGACTATAATTAAATAACCAATACAGAAATTACACTTGACTTCAGCAGAAAACATTACAGATAAAAGGAAAATAAAATGTTTGGAATCCAAAGACGACACTACTGCTAATTAGAGACTCAGGTGAGCTAACAGTTTATTCATTCAAGCTTAACAAAGAATATAAGAAAATCAAAAACTGAGAAAAAAGGGAACCAGCAGACCTTCACTGAAGGCAAACATTATAAGTGTTCTTAGGGTGCTCCCACGTGGGTGGTCAGAAGTGTAGCAAAGAATGAAATAAAATGAAATATGTAAATGATAAAAAAAATACAATGTTCCTAACGGAATCAATGAATCAAAACAATGATATCTTGTAGAAGAGGAGTTAAGTAGAGCTAATCTTAAATGTGGCTATTAAAAAGTAGTAAAACAGTATATAAATTCCAAGTATTATATATATATCAGAGAGTTGAATAATAAATATAGTCCTCAAGCAGGCAAAAATAAGATAAAAAGAACAGGTGGCACAAATAGATGGTGGACTTAAAGCCTAATATATCAGTAACTACTTTTAAAGAGAAAAGAACTGAATACGCCAACTAAAATTAAAGGTTGTCAAAGATTAGATGAAAAAAGCAAAAAATCAACTAAGTAGTGTTTTAAACAGAGAAATGTAAAAATATGAGACTACAAAAACCATTGGAAATATAATTGATTGTTTTCAAGTCTTTATCACAAATGACAGAAGAGTACAAAGGCCTTATTGGGATTGGAAGATGACTGCATTAATCCTGGGTAACGAAACAACAAACTAGGATGGAAAGTGAGAAAAAGCATCTATGTTTCAGAAACAGGGAGATTTACTAATGAAATGAGCACTGAGAGTTGGACTTTTGATCTGTAGGAAAACAAAAAGTTTCTTTATCTTCTGAATAAAAAGGTTTCCTTACACATCTATCCCACATGCCGCACATAGCAGGCTTACTACAGGAGATGCACCATTTTCTTCAGCAGAGAAAAAAACTATCAAAGAGGGAAATACTTTTAACAAAATGGTAAGACAGATTATACTTTACCTGTGAAATAAGTAATTACAAATGTATTTATAAAATGATTGTATTTAGAATCAAATAAACACATACATAATGGTACAAAGATTTCAGTTTTGTTTCATCTCTTTAATGGGTCAGCCTTAACATTTGGCCCTAACAATTATTAAAATTACTTCTCAATATGATATGGGCTCATACACTGGAAAGGCAAGAGAAATATTGCTGTTAGAATCACTAGTGCACTAAAACATAAAACAAAACTTGGTAGTGGAAAAAGAATTCTTTCTCCTACCTAAAACCATATGCAAACTACACTGGCGTATAAATTTGCATGAAGCCTATAATTTTAGATATAGCTTATTTGGAAAATGTTGGCATATCTTCATCTTTCAAAGATTGCAATTAAAATTGAACCAAAGCCTGCCCTTATAAGTACCTTTTACCACTGCCATTTTTTCTATCAAATCTTTTTTTATTTTCCAAAGTTGAGTAAGAACATCAAAAATAAAATCACTACATACATCATAAGCTAGTGAATCTGCTTCATTGGCCACAGTGAGGCCTGCCAATTCTCCAAGTCCTAGTTCACTTTCAAGGGCTTCATCTGCTCCCATAATGAATGACTTCCCAGAAGAAGGAGGAAATGTCAGGGCTTCCACTGAATGGGGAAGACAAAGGAAATGACAACAAAAAAATCTCTGAAGAATCAATCAACAGTCTCATAGGCCAGTATTAAATTTCTTACAAAGATATATGTACATTTAATTATTCTAAAGTACTTTTAAACAATAAAATTCAGTGAGCTGAAGATCTTGAAGAGTTGATTGCTTTTGTCCTATCTTCTTCTAAAGGCACCACCTAACCAGAAAAGGGAAACAGGGTACAAATATAACAATTCATTATCCTTTCTTTTTCATTATTATATAAAAAAGCATGAACAAAGAAAAGTTTTCTCATTTTATATTTCATGTTAATTGCCCAATACCTTCTCTCAATTGCTAAATATATATAAGGAGTGTTTCTGAATATTGCTAATCTCATTCTAAATAAAACTAATTCTATAACCTAGAAGACCATAGAAATTTTCAAATAAAAATGATTTTAAATGGCAAGCATGGTGATGCATACTTAGAATCCCAGGACTCAAGAGGCTGAGGCAGGAGGATCACTGCAAACTTGAGGCCAGCTTAAACTGCATAGTGAAACCCTGTCTCAAAAAAAAAAAAAAAAAAAAAAAAAAAAGAAAAGAAAAGGAAAGAAAATACAAGTATGCTTTAGGCAAAATTAATAAAATATGTAGTGTTAAAAGGCAGGATTAACTCTATGATGCAGACAAGGGACAGTGATCAGAAAAAAGGCAACACAGATGTTGAGGTGGTAGTAAACACCAATAATTTCAGCACTAGGGAAACTGAGGTAGGAGAATCACCATGAGTTTGAGGACAACCTGGGCTCAACAAGTTCAAGGCAAGCCTATGTTACAAAGTGAGACATTATTTCAAAAAGATTTTTAAAAAAAGGCTGGGGGTTTAGCTCAGTGGCACAATTGCCTGCTTGGCAAGCACAAACAAGGTCATGCGTTTTGATCCCTGGTTAAAAAAGAAAAGGAAGAGAAAGAAGTAGAAGAAGGTAACGTAGGCAGGATTCCTAAAGCCTTAATGATGTTCTACTTTTTAACCCAGGGATGGTGGCATAGGTGGGTGATAACTTGGACTTTGTGATAACTCAGTGAGATACACATAATTTCAGCACTTTCTGTAGGCATATTGTGTTTCACTAAGAAATTTTTAAATCTCCACTTGAATACTTTCATTAGGTACCAACTGTGTTTCAAGATGCAGTTTTATGTTATAATAAACTTGAATATTCTTCTTTTAACCCTGAATATTGCAATTTAATTCCTTCAACAACTACCATATGCCAAGTTTTGTGGCATAAGCCTATAATTCGAGCACTTGAAAGGCTGAGGCAGGAGAATCACCATAACTTTTAGGCCTCCCTGGGCTATACAGTGAGTTCAAGCCCAGCCTGACCTACATAGTGAGACTGTGTCTCAAAACAAAACAAAAAAAAAAACCCAAAACAACTATCATACAAGAACCAGTTTAAAGACAAATTAAAACAGGCATTTATGTAGTTGATAATATAATGTCACCCTTTGTAAATGAAAATTATTCTGACAGAGACAGCCTCTGAACTATTTTCTAGATGTGATTACTTTACTGATTAATAACAAACATTAAGTGGATTTAATAGCTCAAACAGTTGCCTTCTACTAGAGGTACATTAACTTTTCTGGAAAAGAAATAAGTTGATTATTTTAATTTAGTGCATATAGAAAACAATTTACAAGATGCTTTCTAGCACTACAGTCAATCATATCTAATAATAAATATTTGTTGAACAAATGAAATGATTATTTGCTTTTAAAAGTAGTGGTAGAAACTGCTGAAAATTCTTGTCAGAAGAGAATACAGTAAGTCTATATTCTAAGACGTTACTAAGCCACTGTACAATGTAGAGGCATAAATGAAAACTGATTTACTGAAAATGCCACACGTCACGTGAGGAATTCTCTACATATTTACTGATATATAACAGGGATTTTTAAAGTTAGAACAGGAATTTTCAGGCCAAAATTTCAAACAAATGGCTCCTGATTCTAGAACTTCATAGGTGATTTTGTTTGATTTGCTTTCACTTCTAACACTTAGTGATAACTTTGTCCAGATATGAGATCAAAATGACTCCAAAAGAAAATGCTAAAATTCCCCAGACTGATAGTACAGAAAGTGTGAGCCAATTTTAATTAACCAGTATCCTAGAAATGGCTTCGTAAAATCTGAAAACAAGGAAGACAAATAAATACCTCCTTACACACTCATGGTGGTCAACAGACTGGATTGTTGAAGATAGTGAAACTGTGAGAATCTGTGTCACTTGTTCTCTACAGCCTTAGAATTTATGTTCTTGTAACTAAAACTTACTGACCATAATCAGCTTTTGTAAATTATTTAACTGTGTCTCTTAAATATGACACTGCAAAGTAATATAAGTAGAGAGCACACACAGGTAATAGACAATTTTTCTGAAAGTGGACTGGAGAACATGTAGGACCAATCACAGGCAATTAAATATTCAATCTATTTCTCTCCTCTCCCCTGCATTCTCTTTCTGCTGGCCCCTGCTACTCTCACCCCATCTTCTCCCTCCCCTTCCCTCCCCTCCCCCCATCTCAAATGGAGAGGCCCAGACCTGTGTATAGGAAGCCAGAGCTCTTAACACTCCCTACACTCACAGGCCCAGCCCTATGTATGATTTTTAAGCATGCCATGGTTTATGTCTGTGGCCCCAGGTCTCATGAGTTTACACTGTGCATTTGTAATGATTCATTGTCTAGTGCTTGGATTGATAGTGTCAGTGCTACACCCACACAGGGGTGGAGCCAGGATGTGATGTAATGGCAGGAAGAAGGTGTGTCTTGCTCTTTTGCTGTTTTGCAGCCACCATGAATTGCGGCTCCGCTATGCCCGCCTGCCTTGGAGCCAACTGAGTGTGGACTGAAACCTCCAAAAACTGTAAGAAATAAACCTTCCCTTTCCCAACTTTGGGCTTCAGGTATTTTGCCTCAGCAACGAGTACAAAGTAACTAAGACAAAGCATATAAAAAATAGTTAATTTATAAGATGACAGTAACTATATAAAAAGTATATGCATGAAGACAGGGACTGAAAGGGAAGAAGGAAACAAAGGAAGTAGTAAATGTATCTAGACTTTGAGGTGACTTTTCCCCTTTACTTATTAAAGATAAACTGCTTAAATTAAGTATTTACGTAAATATTTTCTAACTATGTTTAGACTCTTAAATTTCACAATGTTGAAATGACACATATAAGACCTGTATCTGCAAAACTACAGAATATTTTACACTAGATTTAGAGTTGTCTTTTTTGAAGTTTATGTTATTTCCAAAGTCATGAAGACTAAAGTCTACCATGCAGATCACACATCTGCAGAGGAAAATTATCTCTAATATAGGGCAGTCCTTTCTAATGAGAAATTCATAGCTATAAGTCAAAGTGCATTACATCCTTCAGGAAGTCCTATATAGTTACCTTCATCTGCCCTATTAATTTCATGTTCAGGAAGCCTGGAACTGCTGGGCCTGGAAGGTGAACCCACAGATGGCTGCAATGAAGGAAGTTCATCAACATCTCTCAAATTAGCAAGCATATCTTGTAGTTTGGACCTATTGGGCCCTAGTCAAAAAAAAAAAAAGGGAGAGAGAAAAAAACAGAAAAGAAGAAAACAGATTATACAACTGCATCAAAATGGTGCTTAATTTTACCATTAAATACATCCTAGGCCACTATTAATGAGAAGCATATTCAGTTTTTAAATTTTAAAGTTGATTATTTATTTAAAAGAACTATGTCTTACATATATTTTATAAATTAAGCTAATGGAATCCTTATTTCCATGAAAAAACACAAACATCCTACTTGAACCACTAAAAGTCATATTACTCTATAATCAAGCCCAGGAATATCTGATATGAAGACAGATGCTATGGACTGTGAACCTATTATAAACTGAATCAAACAGTAACATCTCTGGTTTAATTTGCATTCCTTGCCTTACATCCTGAAGCTATGATTCCCAAAGTGAAATCTCATGCCCTATCGATTACTTACCTGAGCTTTGATTCTTCATTCTCCCACATCCCTGTTTTGACTGTTTTATATAGGATAGGGGCTGAAACAGATCTTCGGTAGTTTTTCCTGTTACAAGTTTAATTAAGAATGGGAAAAATCTTACCCATAGTCCATTATGGTCTTTTTCCTATACCAGCAAAGAACGTAACTATTCTGTTACAATTTAACTAACACTATATTTCATGAAACACAATTTGACTGGAAATATTTTTACACCAATTAAAAAAATCTTTTCCAATGAGTAACAGTTCTATTAAAATATGTAATCATGGTAGCTTATAAATTAATGTGTTGTATATCAATTCAAAGCTTTACTTTAGTTCTCTCTTTTTTTTCTTAAGAATAACAAAATGTACTGGGGAATAGGAATAGTTCCTAACAGACAGAAAGGGCCCCAAACAGGCTGCCCGACTTCCCTTTTTAATCATACTTTTCATTTGTTTCTACACTGCTACTTTATACAGACAACAGGAACCAAAATGATTAAAAATGAGATAAAAGTATGCTAAGCTTTAGTCTACATTCCCTGTATTCTCACTGAAAGACATTAAAATTTATACCTCAGAGTCATTTTTCTTCTCTGCACCAAAAAACAACATGCTATATATACCTGAAAGAAGATCATAATTCCCAGATTCAGGAAATCCAATTACTTCTACTAGTAGGAATATTTTTCCAGTCAAATGTTGTAGTTTTAGATTTAAGCACTAAATTCTAACCATAGTTATGTCTCAATATTTGACATGAACTGGTAATACAGGAGTAAGAGTAGATGAATTTACATCTAGCTACCTTCCCAAACAAAAGATCTTTACATTTCAAGATACTCTATTTTTAACAGCATAGTGACCTAAAGAAACATATCAATATTAAGTTAACATGGAAATTATTATTCCTGTATGATACACAAATTTTCCTCAAAAGTTTCATTTTAATTGGTTTGGTCATGACTCCAGAAAGCCATGACATATCATGTCTCAGTATACTTGTTAGGATTAAATCCTTATCAGTGAACAAAAGATATAAAATGTTTCCATATTTTAATATTAAATCATTTTGGTTTAATCTACATGATAGCAATAAATGATATCATTTCTTAAGTCATTGTTGAGACTATGCAAACATTAATGGACATTGACATTTTACTAAATCAAGCCGAACATTTATAAATTCTAAGATATTTTAAATAAAAATGTTAATGTTTTAAGAACTGCCAAGTTATAAAAGAATGCTCTAACAGGAATCTTTGATAAGCTTCCAAAACACCAAAAAGAAAAGGGGAGGGGAGCATGTCTTTTATAATTTGTAAATTCATTTCTCCCTAAATTTAGATTATAATCTTGCTTTACACTACTTTCATATTTCAAAGCATGATATCCCTATTGCTATAAAAGGTCCATGTTTATATTGTTAATGATGGTGGAGATATGAGGAGGTAGTTTAGATTTACACTCCTAAAAATGAGTAAGAATGTTTTTGAGGATGTTTTGAAAGTTTTGTATTTCCATTTTATGTGCTTAACTAAATCTAAAACTTTTCATTTGTAATGAGGTATATGATTCACAGGGCTAGAAATGTTGTTTTGGCTTTTTCAATATATAGCACATTTTATTGAAAAAAGGTAATTGGTAGTACTGCTGTAAGATACATTGGCCAAAACTTTTATATACTCCATAGTGTGCCCTGTATAGCATATACTGGTAAGAGCAAATGAACTGTGTTGTAAACATATAGAATATTCAGGGGTAGAAATTAACTTTGTCTCCAAGATCTAAAACTACAAGCGGTAATTTTGTGGATTGTCAAAAGGGGGTCACACTAGATAAGATTTATAAATTGCCACTAGATATAATCATTGTAATTAAGGATATATGCTTTTTAAAATGAACTTAGCAGTATGTTTGAATACATAGCCCAACACCTTCATAAAGCTTTAAATATGTTATTGGAATATATATGCCATTTAATTTCAACCCCTGAGAGCAGGTGAAATGGAAAAAAAATAAGGAACAGAAATGAAAAAGAGTAAGTAGTTTTAGGAAAACATTGAAAAACAATTGAGAGATGTAAAATAGGTGAGATTTATGATTTACAGATACAATGTTTTCCACTTACTCTTCACCCCCTTTTTCCCCTTTCTCTCCTTTTTGTATTGTTCCTTGAGTTTGGTAATTACTCCCTGGTCCACATTCCAGGCTTCAGGCATGAGGCACTGGTCTTCCTTTTCTAAACAGAGTAAAACAAATGAAAATAGCCTTTTTCAATGAAATATCAATTACACTAACACATCTGAAAGATACAATGATTTTCTTCACATACCACTAGCTAAAAATAAATGGCATTATTTATCAGATACATAAATGAACAAAGTAACAGCTAAGAAAAAAAAGAATTCTCAGATATATAAATAACATAAAAATAAAACTAAGAAAAAAGATCACATTTCTAATTAATACATTTCCCTTGAAAGAGATACAACAACCTAGAAATAATTTCAATGACTGTGAATAAATTAAGCCTAAAAATATTTTTTTTCCTTTGTCTTTTTGAGACAGGGTTTTGCTATGCAGTTCAGGATGGTTTTGAACTCACTTTGTAGCCCAGACTGGCTTGAATTCAGTGACCCTCCACTTCAGCCTCCTGAGTGCTGAGATTACAAATTTGCACCACCACATCCATCCCCAAACACTTTTAAAGAATCTCTCATTTTCTAAATTCTACCAGTAAAACTCATAAAAACTCTCCATATTAATTTATGGGTGACAAGAGATTATACAAAATAGTTACAATAATCTTTTCATTTAAAGTGTTTTATACTTTTGTGTGTTCATCCATAAATGGTCACTGTTATTTTGTTTTATAAATAGCATTTTGTAAATCTTAACTTTCTATTAAAATTTAAAACAATTTAAATGACATGTTAGTTTATAAGTGTTAAGGTTTGTGTCTAGATGTGCCTCAAAGCTCATGCCGTCATGGGGTGAGCTTCTAGAATTTGTGATTGATTCAGGGTCCAAATGCTGGGCTTATGGGTCTGAGCACTATAATTATATGGGGTGGGTAGCCTGCATAAAACATAAGGGAGAAAAAGAGGCTTGTGTTTGCTCTCTTTCTCTCTCTGTTTCTCTCCCCATTTCTCTTTTCATGCTCCTCCCCTCTTTGCTTTTGTTGCTTTTGCTGTTTTTGTGGTCATGAACTGTTGCTCCCTGCCATGCCACCTTGCCTTGGAGCCAGATGATTATGAACTTAAACCTCCACAAACTGTGAGCTAAATGTATCTTTCCTTCCTTCATTGTGGGCATCATGTATTTTGTCTCAGCAATGAGAAAAAAGTAACCAAGACAATAAGGAAATTCAATAATCATCATTTCAGAAAAATTTATATATTTTATATTACTATAAAATAATTAATATACTATATAATGCTATAAACATGTCAGTTCAGAAACTGGTTTGAATATAACATTTGAATATCCAACTCTACAGTCTGCATGTCCACTGAGAAGTCTAATACTGTAGATATCTCCAAACTAAACATGCAAAACCAAATACCAAATTGCTCGTCCTCATCTAACCTTCCATCTACATTTAATACTGATCCCATACCTACATTTGCTTAGCACAAAACCCTTTCTGTGTCCTTCCACATCAAATATTTTAGGAACACTTTATGTTCAAAACTCATCAAGAATCTGATTTCTCATTACATGAATGACTTCTCTGACTACGATGATCTCTTGTTAGATCTACTGCAGCAACTACTGTCCCTCCCACCCACAAGTCTGTTGTCAACTGTTCTCTGGGAAGTCTATCCTCAGCCTAGCAGCCAGAGTATTGCACTAACGTGAGATCACGTCAGCCTTCTGCTCAGACTCTCTATACGTCTCCCTAGTTCCTCAGGGATAAACATGTCCCTAAAAAAATCCAGCCATTTCCTATTACAATTCCCCTAAAATCATTCTGCTCCAGCCACTCTGGCCTTCTTGACTTCCTTAAGCAAGCCAAGGCTGTCACTACATTAGGGCATTTGCTTTGATTTCCCTCTTCCTGAATACTTCTGCCTTCCAAAACCATATGGCAAATTCTCTCACCAACTTAAGTCTTTTGCTCAAATGTTACCCTTTCAGTGGGGCTTTCTCTACTTTTTATATTCCATGGCATTTATCATCCTTTGACATGCTACATCATCTATTATATTTTGTGCTTACTGCCTCATTTTTTAGTAAACTCTGAGCAACAAAAGATTGGAAATCTTCATATAAAAGACTTGGCACATAGGAAACACTTGATCATTGTTTGTTAGATGCATGTTAGAATTAACTGAAATGAATCAGAATAAGCACACATCTATATTTTTTAAGTAATTTAAGTTTTAATCCTGTACACAAATTCGTATTTTTTTAAACTTCTGAATATAACACTATTAAAAACCACTTTTAAAACACTGCTGGGCAGAGTGGCACATGCCTGTAATTACCCCAGCACTTGCTAGGCTGAGGCAGCAGGCTCACAAGTTCAAGGCCAGCTAGAACTATATATTGAGACCTATCACAAAACCAAACCATATCAGACCAAACCCTCAACATTTTAATATACCTAATTATAGCCTATCAACAGTAGACACTGTCTATTTTTCCAGAAGGATTTAACAATTAAAACTGTTAATTTTCACCAATCCAGTTTTAATAATACAATAAATAAAGTAGTTTCTGGATCTGGAATGTTTTCGAAGCAAAAAGTTGGGTTTATCATAATCATAATAGACTCAAACCATTAGCAATATTAGTGTTAGCAAAATTTACTTATTTATTTGCCAGAAACGAGCCACTCTTTTCCTGATGTATTCTCACCCTTTCCTCATAGGGTGGAATTAACAAAAAATGCAGGGAATACAATGGCTTAAATGTTCATTCCACTAGACAGATACTTCATGAATTTGTTCAAAGGCCAGTGCTTTGAGTGCAAATTATACAATCATTAAAAACACAAAAGGCCAAACTGCTGGTAAAGAAACTTACAGTTAACTGACAGCTTCCATCAGTCATATTCAATAAAAGATCTAGCACACATAAAAGAGTATGGCAACTCAGATATGAAAGGTCACCCACGTTTTCACCAGTTAACACAAGGCTGATTAGGTTAAAATGTACAACTTCAAATACTGTTATACTCTGGACCACTACTCACACGTTAAAGTAAAGGAAGTTACACAACAAAAGAGTACGGCCATATTTCCTGCTTACTGGACTTCTGAAAAGACAATCCCAAGTGTTCCCCAAATAAGACTGGGAACACAAACCCATGCAGACATCAATTTCTCAGAAAAAGAGTTCAGGAAGGTACAGTTGAACTTAGTAATTCTACTCCTTTAGTGCTGGTACTGATGCTTAAAATTCCCAAGTAACTTAATATATATTGTTAGTAGAGAGTAAGACAAGACAAGTGACTTACTGCACTTTAATTCTCTTTGGTTTCCCAATTTTGTTCTCTTGAAACTAGTCAGCCTCTAGGCAGCCATTGTAAAGACCAACCCAACCCAATCCAACCTAGATAGCCACCCTTTTCTTCATATTCTTTAGTATAATTATTTCAATTTTTTTTTTCAGTATATTCAACAAAAAGGAAAAACAGCAACACTGGTGCCATGACAGTCCCAGAAGGTAAAATCTCAGAGGTGAGTGTATATACTGATAGCAAATCTAAGTGATTAGGGAAAAGTAAAGGCAGATGAATAATCTGTGTAATATGGTTGTAAATTATCCAAGTAAATGCTATCCCTGTGCCAGAATATTAGTTTAATGAATCTGGCGTGAATCGATGTACCAACTGGCTTAAAAAGTGAAAGGTGTTTGCCCTAGTATAACTTACTGGACACTATGGTGGTGGTCTAACACGGTGGAAGGCCAAAGCAAAAACAACACTTAACCTGATGACCACTTTCTCCTCTTTCCTCTTTAGCCCTGATTATAACTTTTTCTTTCATTTCCCATGTGTACAAAGAGAATTTTAACTAGTTCCTTGTGCATCATCAATGCCTGCTCCAAGCCCTGCTTCTGGTCAGAGGTCATTAGAACCTCCTGTTATGTTTGTCTCTGGCAGAGAAAAATGCCCAACCCCATGAGTGGTGTGCTCCTCTCCACATCCACAATAAAGGTCACTTTTTCTTTCTTTTGCTTCTCTACTGTGTTGGAAAACCCTAACAGAAAGTATTTTCAAATGACTTCAAGGGACAATAAAAAGTCAGCTCCATTTAGATGTACAAACAGCTCCTTCCTCTCATAAGAATTTCCAATATGAGCAAGAGAGCAGTAATTTGCACTACTGACTTGCTTAATATCTCAACAGGAAAAGTCATTACACAATTTAACAAATACCTCTAACATTATAATGATTTCTAGTAAGTTAGGTCAGCTGAAGTCTATGTTGAATGCAAAAGAGTAAAAGTCGACACATATCTACCTCTTCCAACATGTGTTATTGAGATTGCTCAAAATTTAAAAGAAACATCTATTTCCTTGAGGTGATTACAAAATAATTTTCACTGTACAGTTTTTCAGGTGACATATAAATATTAGGCAACATTTTTCTTGCACTTACCCAAGACAGTCTTTTTATCTGTTACTACATGATCAAGCATGTATGGAAGAAAAATTTCAACAAAATTTTTAACACATTAGAAAAAGGAAAATGCATTTTATTTTTTCCCTATGGTTTTAGAATTCTTTTATATTTCCTTCAGAGAAGAAATACATAAAAAATAGAATTTAAATCAGTATTTTAAATTTGTGTATGATTTATGTTCTAATTCTTAAGAATATTATTAAGATAACTAAAATAGCTGCTTAAATGAAAGCAAATAAAATGTTCTTTATATACTGTATTCACATTTAAGTAAGAATTCTACAGAACAATTTTGTCACAATTAAAGCCACTTTTATCTTTATAGACAAAGTATTAACTTAAAAGAATATCATTTTCAAATATGAAAACACTGATTCTTTCCTCCATCAACCCTCAACACTGGGGACTGAACCCACTGAGCTACATCCCTGGCCCATTTTGGGATTTTGAGATAGAATCTCTCTAAGTTGCTAAATGGCTCAGGCTAGGCTTAAATTTACAATGCTCTTGACTCAGCCTCCCAGAAGAGTGCTGGGATTACAGGCCTGCACTATCCCGCCTAGATCCACTGATTCATTTTTTGAAAAGACTGAGTGGAAATTTTTATAGAGATAAAATAATGTTAAAAATAATTAGCAACATAACATTCTTTCAATAACTACTTGTATATATATATGTATATATATATTAGACCCTCTCTTTTTCTTATTCATTAACAATATACTGATAAAACTGATCACTTTTTGAATAATTTATCACAATCTTAACATGTTAACAGTACAAATGCATTTCCAAACTACAATGATCTGCATTATAAGAAGTTTTCCCAAAGTATCTATTTTAAACTCTAATTAGAAATTTAAAATATAAGACTCATTTATAGCAATGTGAGATAGGAAAAAAAACTATTCCTATACAATCAAAATGTGAACTAGAATGAATACAATTTTCTATCTATAACTTTCATGCAGTTTCCCTAAAAAACTAATCTGTAGATAACTATGTAGCAGTAAATACTCACATAATTTGGTTTTAAATTCATTTCAGAATCTACTGCTCATATTGAAAAAAAAAAAAGTGGTGGTGCATGCCTGTAATCTTCCCTGACACACTTATTACAAGCACTCAGGAAGCTGAGGCAGGTTCAAGACCAACCTAAACTATATAACATATCCAGACTCTTGTCTCCAAAACAAAACAAAGTAAAAGAACAGTTACACACACCCTTAAAAAAAAGGTGACATAGTAAAAACTCACTGTATGTTCAGTATAGTTCTTGAAGACACTGCCATTCTGGCAAAACATTAATTTCTTTTGTTTACTTTAAATTTCTGGATGAATCCAGTAGGCTTCCTTACCCCAATCTGTTCCATCGCCTGCACTTCTAGATTCACTGTCTCCTTCTTCTGATGTAACCAAGAAGTCAAATTCCTTTAGGGCCTCTTTTGTAGCTCGATCTTCAGTGCTATCAGGCAATATCTTTTTCCTAACAATCTAATAAAAAACATATTACATTAAAATATTAAAAGAGATTATGAGCCAGGTATGGTGGCACACACATAGTATCCCAGCACGCAGAAGGCTGAGACTGGAGATCATTATGACTTTGAGGCCAGCCTGGGCTACACAGTAAGTTCCAGGCAGTCTAAACTACACGGTAAGATGTTGTCTTAAAAAGAAAGAAAAAAAAAATATGGATTCTACTGAAAAAGAAACAAAATACATTTACCATTAAATGCAAAAAATAATTCTAGAATTTTCTTCAGAAGTACATATATCTTTGTTGTAGCAAATTAAATGTATTTCCTAACTCAGTGAAAAACACAAATATTATTTTTAAAAGACATATATTACACATTTTAAAGCAGTAAGTTAAACTTTGTCTGATGTTATGATGGCTTATTTTTTATTGCTGTTGTTTTGGCTTTTTCTTCTTTTGGGGGAAGGCAGAATGTTGAGACAAGATCTTGCTATGTAGTTCAAACTGGCCTTGAAATCACTCTGTAGCCCAGGCTGGCCTCGAATTTGAGGTGAATCTCCTGTCTCGGCCTCCCAAATGCTGGGATTATAGTGTATTCCACAACACCTAGATCTGATTTGTTATAAATAAAGAAATATATACTGAAATCATTGGAATACAAGACATGTATTTAAATTATAGATAGATAAGAAACTTGACACAATTATCACAAGAACCAAATCTTATGTTTCCTGAATACAATCTGTGCTGTCTGGAGGCTTTCTAATATGTATCAAAGAGGATACAGGTAATAAGATACTGTAACATTTTTTCCAGAATATAATCATGATGACTTTTAACATGATATCACTCTCACAAAATCTAAAATCACAAAACAACAGACTCGAAATCATCTGCTTTAAGTGCCTTAACAAGACACTTTGTAAGGTTCCCATTATTATTTCTACTGCCCTAACCCTGAATTGTTTTCTCTAACTACTCTTTATATATTCATTTGATTTGCTAAAAAACTTAGATTTAACAACAAATACAATAGCTATTATGACTCGTTTTTACATTTTTAGAAATGTTATTTGGTTTGGGGGGATTGTTTTGTTTTGGTCTTTCTGAGACAGGGTCTCACTATGTGGTTCAGCCTGGCCTCGAGCTCACTTTGTAACCCAGGCTGGTCTCGAACCTGCAACCATCCTCCTGCCTCCCCAGTGCTAGGGTTACAGACATGCTATTTTTAGAAATGTTATTATTAATGCAGTTAGTGTTAAAACTGAAAACCTAAGGCATATAGTCATTTTTGAGACCAACATGCCAATGCTATTTATGAATTACATATTTTTTGGCCTCCTCAATCAACATTATTCCAAAGAAATTAGGATCATGGTTTGTAGCTTATTTCCGTAAAATGTACCAATATTTCAACTTCTTCAGACTTTACTCACTTTATGTAATAGAAATAGCATCACCAGATCAAAGTTCATCCTAGAACTTTTTTGAATGATTTAAAATTGTAAAGCTTTAAGAAATAGATCAATGATACAAGATCAGAGTCCAAAATGTTAAGAGACAACAATTGCCTGACTAGTATGACCCCGTTTTCTTTCTCTTATCTGGTTATCACTTTTTCAACCACAGCACTTTTCATCTAGATGACATATACCCAGAAGTGCTAGCACATGTCCTTAGTCTCAGCACTCAGGAGACTAAGGCAGGAAGAACACTCAGAGGCCAGCTTGGACTAGTCACTTCAATGTCAACCTAACTACACAGCAAGACCCTGTGTCAAACAACAGACAAAACAAAACACACAGTCTCAGATATTCTTTTCAACATAGTACTCCAGGAAGCCACTACTAATAGAACAAAGTCTGCACCACAGATGAAACTCATCTTAACTGTCCCGATACATATACTAAGACAGGCAGCAAAGGGCATTTAATGGTGTTAGAATAACTGGGTTAACTAATTGGAATATTTCACTAAAATCAGGAAATACTTCCATTTCTACATTAGTTCCTGGTCTAACATCTAGCAATTCTTTTAAAAAGGCAAGTGTGGCAGATAGTGAACAGAAACTGGATATACTGAGTGGGTATTGTTTAGTATGTAGTCACAAAATATATCAGCCTGAAAAAATAAAACAAAACCAAATAAACATAAAAATTTCTTCCAATTTTCCCCGAGCAGCTACATTAAAGTATAAAAATATCTCTGGGGCTCAGGGGGTCACACCTCAGTGACATGGCACTTGTCTAGCAAGCACAAGGTCCTGAGATATGTAACTGATTTTTTAAAAAAATTGTCAATATATTTATTTATCTTGGAAGTTTTATCCCTCCTTCTCCCTGAGCTAAAGGGCGCCAGATATAATTTAGAGGGGCTATCACTAACACTTTGTAGATGGCACAGTCCTTATTTTCTTGCCTGACAAAGAAGGGAGAGAAAAATCCAAAAATATCTGAAATCTCAAGTTAAAGGTCTAAAAAGACATTCTAAAAAAGGTTGTGTGTCCGGTTTATCTCACTCAATATTTTATTTTCCAGGTGCATCTATTTTCCTACAAATATCTCCAATTTGTCATTCTTCGTAGTCAAGTGGTATTCCATTATATAGATAACACATTTTGTTTATCCAATTATTTGGTGATGGGTATGCAGGTTGCTTACATTGGTGCTGCTATAAACACTGGAATACAAGATCACTGTTGCATATTCTTCTAAGTTCTTTGGAGAATAGCTGAGTCATAGGAATTTCTAATTTCAGTTCTTTGAGAAATTTCCATGATGGCTGATCTCCTACCAACAATATGGGAGGGTTCCTTTTTCACCACAGCCTCATCATCAATTGTTATTATTTGATGTCCATTCTTTTTGGACTAAGATGAGCTCTTAGAAGACTTGTTTTAATTTGCAATTCTTTAACGGCCAGAAATGTTGAACATTTTATGTATCTGTTGACCATTTGTATTTCTTTCTCTCTGAAATGTCTATTTCTCTAGGCTATTTTTTATTAGTTCTTTGTATATTCTAGAAATTAATCCTCTGCCTAGGGGTAGTTGGCAAAATTTTTTTCTCATTCTGTGATGTCTCTTCACTCTATTAATTGATGCTTTTACTATTCAGAAGATTTTTAGTCTGATATAATACTATTTGTTGATTTTTGCTATTTCTTGAGCAACTTAGATTCTGTTCAGAAAACCCTTTCCTATACCTATATCTTCCTATACCTATATTTAACTTATTTTATCTTCCAGAAGGTTTAATATTTGTTTTAATGTTTAGATCTTAGATTCATTTTTATTTTAATTCCATATATGGGAGGCTATATTCTGTCTCTTTGTTTCTCACCTTCAGGAACTCTAGGGAGTAAGCTGTTATCCAGTTTGATATTATCCTATAGACTGCTTACAAATGCACTTTTTAATTTTCTTTCTCTTCTTCAGGTTAAATATCTACTAATCTACCTTCAAGTTCAGTGAACTTTTACTGCACAGCTTAAATGTTTCTTCAGTGAATTTTCTATTTAAACATACTACATCTGCAGTTTTGACATTTCTGTAATTTTCTTCCTAGCATTTTAGTGTCCTTGCTGACATTCACAGTAAGTTCATTATGTTCACCTTTTCTTCAAACCATAAATAAATACAGCATACTTCAAATGAAAAGTAATGTAGCCCAGCCTAGCCTTGAACTGGCCTCCCAAGTGTTGAGAATACAGACTTGTATTACCATGCCTAGCTTGGAGACAAAGCAACATCCCATTCTATCATAGCATCCATTTCTTCTGCAGTTACCCTCTTTTTACACTCTTTGGTCTTTGTAGATTTTACCCATAATTATAGCTGCATTGTTCTGAATAGCTATCCCTGAGTCTGCATTATTTATTCTGTTCAGTAATTCTTGTAATGTCACATCACTGTGTTCAGGGTTAAATTTTTAGCATTTTTAGAGACATTTCCATATGCTTGGCTCATGCAACTGCTTCATCTCTCTTCTTGATGGCTGACTGCAGTCTAGACATAAGAGCTTCATCACATTCCCTCTGTGCAAAATATACTTCTCCAACTAGAGCTGCTGTCTTTTCAGCAATTTTACTCTCCATTGCTTTTTCTTGGAGTTCCAGCTTATGCTTTAATTTTTTCTGTTCTTTATTTTTTCTGGTCAGTTTTTCTTAAAGCCTTCTCTTGCTTTTTCTGAGTATATCCAATTCTTTTAGAAGAAATGCTGTTTATTTAGAGCTGAAGTAACTTGGTAAGGAAGCAGATATTCATAATGTACATCATTGTTTCTATATTCCATATTGCACTTTTCAGATGTCTCATCATCAGGATTAGGAAAGATGACCTGAAAACGCCTTGATCTCTGCACAGGCAGTTCAGTGTCTTCATTTGTGACTTCATTAACTCAATCACTGGGTTTCTGAATCAAGCTTCCCTCAAAATGCATGGCTAGCTGTGCACTTACCTGTATACTTTTATTTCTCCTCATAGTTCAATATTAACATGGGTTACGTCTTTTGACCAGTTCTCCATTTGTGCTTCACTTTTTGTTTGCTTTGGCAATGTCCCTTGTTTTTGCTCCAAGACTGAAGCTCACAGCTAGAACCCTGCATTCTTTAAAAAGTCCTCTAATAAAGCTGTAGGAAGCTTCACCTTTTCCAATTTTCTGTAAATACGTCAATCTAGAGTTGGCCATCTTTTTCCAAGCTCCTCATTTACTTTTGGATTAGCTGTAACTCGCCTGGCACTGTCAGGGGAAAGGCCTCTGCACCTCCACTTGGGAGTTTTCAGGTCCAACGTGCTGCCACTGCGTCAGCCAATGGCCGCCTGCTCAGAGCCTCTGATGGGCACGCACATACGTAAATGATGGCGCATGACAGGACGCAGACGCTGGGAGAAGGGAGCTGTGGCCAGACTAGTGCCAGGGCTGCTGGGAGCAAAGGCCTGAAAGGATTTCTGACATTAGTTCTTACTAAATATGTTATTAAGACACAAAAGTAACTCAGACAGAACCTTTGGTTTTTGGTAACGTTACACAAAATGAAGAAAAGCAGTACCTTTGTCTCTGCAAACCACAGCCTATCAAGAATTTTGTGTGTGTGTGGCGGGGGGAGTGTTGAGGACTGAACTCAGGGCCTGTGCAGAGACTGGAGGTGTGTACATTTTTTGTACTGTGACTAACATAACCGTAATGATTGCTAATTCTGTTAATTTTTCTCCTAAAGTTCTTGAATGTTCTTCAACTAATATTGCTGTGAAGTTATCTTTTACCCAGTTTGAAAATGATCGCTTTTTTCTCCATGTATATACTCTTTTTGGTTGTTATACTGAACCAATAAGAATAGATAATGATGGTAAAGCAAAATGTAAAGAGGTTAACTGTGGAGAAAATGTAGAGGTGAAAAAGAATCCAGAATGTAACTCAAGGAATGAATTCAAGGAGGGCAAATCGAAAGGAGAAAACACGTGGCTTTGAAGACATGGCACCATAAACACAGTCAGCAGTTACTAAGAGTTTTGTTTCTTAAGTCAAGAGTCTTGTATCTCCTTAAGTCAATCTATTGAAATGTTTTGACAAACAAAATAAAACAGGATTTTTAGAACCTGGATGTTCTATTAACACTTTAGTAGGATAATTTTCAGCCATTCTCTCTGAAATACCATACATTTTCAAAGTAACGCTGACTCATTTTTAAGAGTTAGATTTTTAAAATCCTCTTGGCATTTATCCACAGGACGAGACTATAACTCTGAAAATTAATGGAATATTTAACTTAACAAAACTTCAACCCAGTTATTTGTTTAAAAATCTGGATTTTTCCTAAAAACTAATATTTTTGCATGTAGAATTTGAATGCACTCAGTGTCCACATCAGATGTTCCTTCTCTGTGGTGGCTATCGAATTGCTATCATCTGCGCTAAATGGAGGACAGAATATTTATGAATCTGATTACTTAAAAAGAAATCAAATGCTTGGGAGTTAGAAATCAAATGATTAGGTTATTGATAGAAATTTCTAATCAGGTCATTCAAAATAGTTTCAGTAATCAGATAAGAATTTTTGAAACATTTTAATTGACATATTCCTAACAAACTTGATCATAATTAGAGCTATTTAGCACTGAGCCTTCAACAAAGTATTTTGATAAAAATAATCATTCTATAGAAACCATTAGGAGTTATATAATTTTCACATAACTGTAACAAAGAAAAAGTACTATAGAAATACAGGCCTTTTATACAATAAATTAAGACATATGTTAATACTACTTATTTAGAAAAGAAAATTTTTGAGTGACTATCCGAAGTTCAAATAGTAACCATGGCAGGATGGAGAATAGTGGCCCAGGGAAACAGGAAACTGCCAGTAATAATTTGAGAGTCTCTTCCGGAGCCCAGGAAGCAAAGAGCATAAAAGTAACAGAGAAGTTACTCTTGGAAAGCACTTTATATTGAACATGTAATTTTCTTATGCAATATCTCTTCTTCTCCTCATAAACCCTTTGTGATAAAACAGGTACATATTTATTAAAATACTCATTTTAGAATTGAAAAATTAAGGCTGACGCATGAAGAAGTACGATTAGTGGTAGTGGTAGTGGTAGTCAGTCTGATGTTACTTTTCTCTTCTTCCTATTCTCAAATAAATACGAAGCAGGAAATCTAAGTATGTTTTGAAACAAAGCACGTCCCAATCCTTTAAAAAAGGAGAGGGAGGAAAAACAAGTAAAAAGAAGGGGGAAAGCGGAAACAAAGGTAAAGAGATAGAGGGAGAGGAGGAAGACGAAGAGAAGAAAACGGGGATGTGAAGAAAAGAAACAGTAATTTAGTGACAACACTCATTTTAGGAAACTGTTAAAAAGACTGAAAAAAATACTTCAAAAATTTGAAGAAATCGAATAGAAAAGTTCTGAAAGGCTAGAACTTGGCTGTCAAAGACATCCTTTCAGACAAGGACCAATCAGAGTTTATGTGAGTTGCCATCAGGCACAATTCTATTATCTTGCAGCGCCCATGAACACGGCATTGTCACAACACAATGTATTTATCATGTACCTACTCTACAGATATGTCTTGTTTAATGAATTTTTTTTTTTGGCTTTTTCCTTTTTATTGGTACCAGAGACCGAACTCACGACTGCCTGCTTGCAAGGCAGGCGCTTATGCTGCTGAGCTAAATTCCCAGCCCCTTGTTTAACGAATTTTACAAAGTGAAATTTTTTAAAAGAAAAAACTACTATCCTTGAATCTGAGATCAATACTAAAAAAATTTTCCAATTTCAAGAGTATGGGGGAAAAGTGAAGGTGTTAGACTGGAGGACATGGGTTATTTTTAAAGTATGCATTACAGTATCTAAAAATATATTATTTGAGTTATCTAACTTACTGTTGAAGTATCAGTGACACTTTTCTCTCTTCCCTCAACATCATCATCTTCATCTTCATCGCTGAAATCTGTAGCTGCATTTTCAAGGAATTTGAAATTATCCAGCACAGAGGCAGAATCTGTTAACTCGGGTTTTCTGGTTTAAAACACGTACATCATATTTAGTTCACCTTTTTTAACTTCAACATAAAATTAACTTATGAGAAAGTTTCTCTTTGTATAGCAATACAATGCCCAAATTAACTTATGGTTTTCACTGATTCTCATTTATTAGACTTCTGTAGATAAACTCAAAAATTAATACAGGAAATACTCTTTTATATTATACATATTATTGGTAATCTAAACAAGTTCCCCTCTTCACTCAGTATTATTTTGATCCTTATACATCAACCTTAATGTATTTCTTTTTAAAAATATAAAAAAGACAAATATTTTATTACTTGTTTCAATTTTTCCATTTTTGCACAACTATAAAAGCAATTAATAAAGATGCCATTTTTCTCTAATACAATCTTGTACTTCTTGTTAAACAGCTAAAGAAGTAAAAAGGGCAAATGTATGCAAAGCTTACTAGTATGCTAGTAAAAACAATATATCAGATAGTAATATAAGACTTTGCCTACTGATGAATAAAACACTCATCTTTTAGAAATGACTGAATTTTCAAATTTAAGACTTGAACACATTCCCTCAAAATAAATTTAGTAAACCATTTCCTAATGGTAAGAATACAATTTCGCTTTCGCATATTAGGATATATTTTAGATAAGAAGGTATTTTCTTGAAAAAATATAGCCATAATTACAGACAACATTTTAAAAAGATAAATATTACATTTTGAATCTGCTGGGAGCTGCTTTTGTTTTTTTTCTTTCATTCTCCATCCCTAGAGAAATTGTACACATCCAGAATACACTTTTCAGTTTCAAAACACTGACCAGCACCAAACTATACACAAGAGAATGGGCTATTTTCTTCTTACAGTCACTACTGAAGGTTTCTTAAACATATTTATTAAAAAGAAAAAATTATACAGGTCCTCAAAAGATATAGATTATGTAGGTTAACTTAATGACTTAACTCAGAAGACAAAAGTACAGACAGGAATAATGCCCACATAATCTATGTCTATGAAAAGAAAGACTGCTTTTATTTAGATACAAGTTAATGCATTCTTAATTATTAATGAATACTGCAAGAAGGCTCCAACAACATTAGTTTATAAAATTCCTATAGCATGATCCTTTACCTGTCCTATAATTTCAGTGCATGTCTTAAGTAAGAGGAACCATATTCTCAGTAGAATATTTAGAAAGGTCAATTAAAACTATTCTTTCAGCCTAAAACACAGTTTAAAATTAAATAATATTGGATTTAGACTTTCACAAAATCATTGGGTTTTTATTCAATTAATAATATGGCAATTTTTCCAATAAATAAGAATCTGTATTGAACTATTCATTTAAGAAGAATCATATATAACTATATAGCATACGATCCAACAGAACAGTAAGATACTTAAAATGGCTATTGAAATTTTCAATTAGTCTATCAATTACAATGTATTAACACAGATACATATTTTATACCAAAGGAAATACGAATTACAGCATTATTATATAAATAAAACTGGCTAAAAAAAAGGTTTACTTCTAAACCAGGAATGGTGCCGAACATCTATAATCTCAGTACCCTGCAAGACCGAGGGAGAAAAATCCCAAATTTGAGCCTACCCGGGTAACTGGTGAAAGTTGTTATAAAATAAAAATAGTTGGGCTTGTAGCACAGTGTCAAGACCCTAATTTCAATCTCGAGTACAAAAAAAAAAAAGTTCATGTGTAAAGCACGTGGTGACATTTTTATAATTTCTTGGTTGCCAATAATAACAAAATTTCATTCCTCTACATTTGTACTGAATTTCAAAAGACGACCTTTCATCAGGTTTCAATAGCTGATCAGGCATCAAGATATTAAAATTCATATTAAACATAAATATCAAGCCAAAGCTATCCTACATAAAAATTATATTCTTGAATTAAAACAATCATAAATGGTAATATCAAATCTTATGTTACTTTGTAAGGCAAACTCTAAATGTTTTATTATTAAGCTTAATTATAATTATTTCTGTATCATTATCTAAAAATGTAACAACACCTCCCAAAACCAAAAGTAGTAAGAATTAAAGCTATAGCTAAAACACTTTGTGTACAAAATACTTACCCAATCATTGCTGTCTCTTTAACTTCAGCCTCTATGCCATTTATAACTGAGTCCTGATTTTTGTCATCTTCCCTGTCAGTGACATCACTTGAAAAACCCAACAAAGCGCGGACTCTTTTAGATTTCACATCTAGAATAGTATCCGTGTAACCAACCTCCTGGAGATACCTATGTGAAGAAGATCCTTACAATTCAGTCATACAGGAATTAATATTCTAAAATTTACTAGTATGTAAATAAAAGTATTTCTTTAGATTTACTGTCTACATAAGACTAAACAGTACAGTATTATGCTAGTAAGACTTGTTAATAATCTTCCAGCTGCAAACGGAGCTGTCTCTTGCAGTACCAGCCTCTACAGTCACTGAGAAAAATCAAAGAACTATACAATACACTATTCATTACGTTTACCCTAAGAAGAAACTGTTCCTTAACATAGTACAAGGCACATTGTTTCCTTTAGGCAGGATCTAGTAAGCTCATTCCTAAATTCTACTGAATGACTATTTTATAATAGCAATTCCAATTTTTTTTTACATTTCTAATATAAAGTTATAGGTCAAGTGTGTGAGATCTAAAAAGAACGTTTCTAGTATATATGGCTTCCCTCATGACATACAAGAAATAGTATTTCCCCAGGTCACTTCTGTAAAAGGAAAATTTCTATGCTGAGACAAGTCTAAAATAAAAATAGATCAAATTAAATTGTGGGATGTGGGTGTGCATGTACATACATGAGTTTATGTGTGGAGAAGCAGCAGCAGAAAAAGAAAAGAGTATAAACTTTGGGCCGAGACATGTTGGTATTAAACCCATTTCTGCCACTTACTTGCTGTGTGACTACCTTCCCTCGCTCTCTCCTTTCTTTCTTTATATGGTACTGGGAATTGACTGCAGGGGCTCTGCAGCAAGCTACATCCCAAGCCCTTTTTATTTAAGACAGTATCTCACTAAATAATCCCACTTGTAGCTGGGATTATAGGCACGCACCACCACACACAGCGTACGTTTAATTCTTTTAACCTCAGTTTTTGTTTCAGTAAACAGATGCATCTGGCATTTAAAAAGCACCCAAATACTTATCAACACCAAAGCTTACTAAAAAAATATCAAAGTGATAGTGGCAGGACCGTGACAAAAGAGACATATTAGTAATAAACATGATAGAAAAATGCCAGGCATTAACTTATAGATAGGCGTAAGTCTTCCGGATGAAAGAAAATAGGTTATGTTCAGTTTATTTCATGATTTGGTTTTAACAGTTATTAAAGCTGAAAGATAGCTTATAAAGATATATCACCAAATGGACGAAGTGTATTTTATCAAATTAAGATGCTCATCTTTCAGTCCCATCAAGTATTGATTAAAAATTGAAATAACAAATCTCCAGTTTTCCTAAATTTAATCAGTTGTTCTCAGGAACTGCTGAACTGTCATGTTTCCCTATTTTGAACAAATATGTTATATGCATGTTACTCTGGCAACAAAACCACACTACCAAGTATTTGTTTCAAAACAGTTTTTGCCACAGATTAGTCAATTTTACTAAATAGGTACTCTGTCATTCTTTGCATTGACAAGTAGATTAATGAATCTTCTAAAGTTTTTAAAAATATCTCTTTGAATGAATGAATGAATGATTAAATAAAAACATCGCTTAGGGGGCCAGGGGATTGGCTCAGTGGCATAAGTGCCTGCTTGGCAAACGCAAAGTCTTGAGTTTGATCCCTGGTACCAAAAAAAAAAAAAAAAAAAAGCACATCTCTTAGCTAGACTGAAATCACTTCTCATAAAAAGGTAACATTTTTTGGCCTTTTTGAGACAGGATCTCACTATGCAGTTCAGGACCTCGCTTGAACTCACTGTGTAGCCCAGGATGACCTTGAACTCACAGTGATCTTCCTGCCTCTTCCTTAGTGTTGGGATTACAGGCATGCGCCACAAAAAGGCAATTTTTAAGAACACGTATTTATTTAGAAAAGGAAACACTAGAGCCAGGGATTTAGCTCAGCAGCATGAGTGCCTGCAACCCAAGTTGCAGTCAAGTTCTAACCCCAGTACCAAAAACAAAAGGAAATGCTTAAATCATATTTAAGACCAAAGTGAGTGCAACAGTAGAGATCCATGTGAATATAAAAGGCTCATTTTTGTTAGCTTTTTCTAGATAAAAAACAAATATGAAAAGATGTTATAATGTTCTTTTAATAGGAATGACTGATTTATTTACTCTGAAAACCTTACGTTTCATAACCAATCCCAAAAGACCAAAACAGGTAGCAAATTTCCTTTTACTTTGACATACACTTGAATAATAATTTTGAAGTAGTACGCAAGCACCAGGTGCTCAGCAGATGAGTGGGTTTTAGTCTATCACTTGACATTAGACCCCAAACCAAGCTTTTTTTTCTATATATAGTCTCAGACATACACATATTATAGATGAAAGTACATTAGGTGATATTTGAAAACTTTGGATAATTCAAGATGTTCTTTTATTTAAAATTAAGAAGTGGGGAAAAAAACACCAAGTAACTATATATAAATACTAATTGGTCTATATATTTGTACAGATGATGCAATGAGACAAACAAGGGTATAAAATTCTTTCATCTATACAAATACTATCATGGGCAAGAGTGCTTAATATGAAAAATAAATAGGAATTCAATTAAGCTTCTCCACATATAGTATAATAAAAGATGCACTTATTTCATTGAGTTGAAAATACAAAATAAAAGTGATTTCATAAAACTACTTAGGTTCCTTTCAACTATTTTTGAATTTGACTTCAGGACACTTACTGTCGCAGTAGCTGTCGACCCTGTTTCCACATTAACTGGCTGTTTTGCTGTGGCTGCACTTCTGTTTCATTACCTTCATCTGGAAAACATGGAATCAGAATTAAACTTACTGATTTTACATTCTTAAAACACTTATGAGATTAAGAATATGTAATCTATAACAATAAAGTATGTTTTAGGACAATGTAAATTGTTTCTAAGAAAACTCTTACTCTAAATTAACTATTGCTACTGAAATACACTTAGAGTAACAATGAAAAAAGATTTTCCCTATCTTTTCAGCCAGTCTTAGAATATTCATGTGGAACACAGATCTATCCAATCAAATCGTGCAGTGAAAGCCAAATATAAATAGCATAAAATATCACAAAAGAATGAGAACAAAAGATTTAAGAACAATAGTTAAAAAAAAAGACCAATTTGGTAAAGAGCAGATATATAACAATTTCAATCCAAATCTGCTTCCTTCATTAGCTATTAAATCAAAACTTCAAGTATTCTTTTAATGACATTCTTTGAATAAAAACTTTTTAAAGCTTTCATTTTTAACCTTTAAACTTTTAAAAAGTTTTTTAAAGCTTAAATTTGTCATGAGATAAAAGTGGAATCTGGGGCTGGGGATTTAGCTCAGCAGCATAAGCGCCTGCCTTGCAAGCAGGCAGTCGTGAGTTCGATCCCTGGTACCTATAAAAAGGAAAAAGACAAAAAAAAAAAAAAAAAAAGTGGAATCTCTTCAAGAAGGACTTATAAAAAACTTTATCCATGTTATATCTGGTCTAAAGAACTTCCAAACTACATGTTGACTTATTTTAGCAATAAAACAAATAGTTAAGTTCTGTGATTCTGACTTTTTACATGCCATTTCTACAATGACAAAATTAAAGAAAACATGAGACTAGAAATCAGAATTAGATCCTGAGTGTTTGTTTCTTTCCTAAAATAATTAGATCAAAGAGGAAAGAAATTTAGAGAAATTAAATAGAAGCTATTTGGGATAATTTTAAAGATGCTATACTTTAAAACAAAACAAAAACAATGTCCCAGTACTAAGGAAAAATAGTAAATTCTTATTTCCACTAACCTATAATAACTTAGGAACTATGTTTATAACACAGTATGTTCCAATATATCCTCTATACTCAACTGAGTAACTTATAAAGAATATTTGTTTTGACATTTCAAGACTTCAAAACTTCAAATGTAAATTTAAACACAATAAATTTCACTATATGTAAATTATACTTTAATAAAAATAAGGTAAACAAAAATCTCTTCAAGTCCAGTTGCTCTTAGAGCAGGAGATAAGACTCAATGGTACAGTTCTTGCCTTGCTTGCACAAGGTTCTGAGTTCAATCCCCGCACCACCAAAAAAAGAAAAAAAAACACAAATTCTTACATATTCAAATCCAAAGCTCAGTGTTTCTCTCCATGGTTGCTATTAAGTAGTCATCAACTATCAGATTCACTTTTTCTCAATCGAGTTCAAATAGTAACATTTAAATGTGAGAATTTTAAAGTAGGTAACAGTTTGATTTCTTGGTAACAATAAAAGTATTTTACTGCCATTGCCAGTCAAATATGAGTAACACAGACTGGGTTTATTCTCTTCTCAAAAGATGTAGAAAACAGATGAAACAAGGGTTTTCGAAACACTGGCCATGAGAGAAGAAAGATAGTAATTTCTCAGAGAAGAGAAACAAACTTAAGATTGTCCCTGCCAGTGCCTTGGAAGAATATTTAGATCTTAGAACAAGGAGGATGAACAAAAACAGTATTAGAAAAAATAATGGTTGAAAGTTATCATGAATATGATAAAAGCACAGATACAAGAAATTCAACGAACCCCAAGCCTAAGAGACACTGTAGGCAGTGGTAACTACAGTAAGGTATATCATGATAAAAACTATTTAGAACTAATGATAAAAAGAAATCTTTAAAAACAGTCAGAGAAAAAAGGCAGCAATGAATACAGAACAGGCGCCGGGGATTTAGCTCAGTGGCATAAGCATCTGCCTGGCAAGTGTGAGGTCGTGAGTTCAATCACCAGTACCAAAAATAAATAAAAATAAATAATAAGTACAGAGGAACAAAGGAAGGAAATGACAAGAAAAAAAGATAATGGAAAAAACAGAAACAAAGCTTTTATAAACAAAGAGGAGAAGAGGTGTTGAGCGTAGGGGAGGGGAATGGGACAAAAAAGCAAAATAAATCATGTATGGGTACAAACTCCCTATGATGAATATTATCATTATGTATATCTAATATGTATCAATAAAATTTTAAATGTACTAATGAGCAGGATCAAAGACAATAGGCAATCTCATCAGAAACAATGCTAGTGGGCAAAAACACTTTTCTGATGTACAAAACTTGAAGAAATCATTACGAGCGGCTAATATAATATTCACTAAAAGTCTTCAAAGCAGAAGGAAAATGTTACCAGATGGAAATACTGGTCTGCCCAAAGGAATGAGCACTAGAATTTTTTATATTTGCTATTTGATCTCCTAGAGAACTGAAACCAAAATAACAACTCACCCAAATCCTTAGCTTTTCTCAATTCCACCACTGTCTGCTAAGTTTGTTCTCCATAATAAATATTATACAGCAAAACTCTGCTTTTTCCTCCCTGTGTCTTCTCTTCCTCCTTTTCTGATTTTATTCTTTGTTCAGGGTGCTAGGGACTCATGCATGCTAGGTATGTGCTGCACCCCATAATCCGTATCCCCAGCTCTGCTTTTTTTAAATGTCTGGTCCGCTCTTAAGCAGATAATCCTGTCTTATATTTAAAGCTACCATATGAGCATTCCTTTAAATACCCATCACCAAACTGAAAAACCAACTTATAAATCTGTGCCACTTTCTTTCTCAGTAACAACAAATGAAACACTACAGACTGTCTCCAACACTGTTTCAGAATCCAGTGTCTATCATTTCTTCAGATTTGAGTATCTCTATTTCCCTTTCATTGGTTCTTCCTCTTGGAAACATTGCAAATGCAAACATGCTCTGCAGCACTCTCTCTCTCTCTCTCTCTCTCTCTCTCTCTCTCTCTCTCTCTCTCTCTCTCTCAATCCTACAGGTACTCTTTAGCCTCTTGTGAATTAGAAGTACTGAACAACCCTTCCCCTGCGAATGCTCTCTTCTGGTTCAACTCTCGAGCTTTTCCTTCTACTATTATAGTAGTGTTTATCTGTTTCTTTCCAGATTTCTATCCTTATACCAATCTTTGAAATATTGCCATTCCTCAGTGCTCCATTTTAGTTCCTCTTCTCACTCTGCCCAACCCCTTGGATGATCTCTTCTCTACCAACAGCTTTGTGTGCCGTCACTGCCACAAGCTGTTGCCTCCCAATCATCTATGAGCAATCTTCTTAGAAAATAAATTCAAGGGCCATGGGTTTAGCTCAGCAGCGTAAGCACCTACCTGGCAAGGGCAAGGTTGTGAGTTCAATCCCCGGTACCAAAACCAAAAATCAAAAGTAAACCCACCACTTTCTAAACCTGTGTAGCTGTTTAAAGAACAAATGAAATGTGGAAGTTATCTCTGACTTGCCCTTTCTTTCAAGTCCCCCCCATCTAATCAAGAACAAGTTTCTGTAGATTCTACATTCTAAATTTCTCCCTAAACAAGGCAGCCTTCCGAGTTTCCCAGGTGACCATAACAGTTCTAGCTCTCTAACAGTTTCCTGACTCTAATTCTGCTCTTCTTTAATCCATCTTCCACACTGCAGCTAATGTGAACCAAAGGCAAACCCCATCACAACTGAACTCTTCTTCTCTTCACTCTGTATAAAGCTCAAACTCTCTAATATATTCTACAAGGTCTTTATAAAATATCATATGTGATTGGTTAAGTATCTAGCTACGTGCAAAAACAGTCCTGTCCCTCTCACTACCACTCAGATTTCTCACTTCTCAAATGTGCCAAACTAAAACCTTTGCAGCTAATACCGTCTCACCCCTCCCCCTCAACTCATTCTACAAACAGCCAGTTTACCTGTCCTGATTTTTGCTTGTCCTTTGGATGCCAATGTTAAGTATCACTTCCTCCAAGTGATAGCCTCCCTTGAACACTTATACTAGATTTGGTTCCCCCTATTTTGTGCTCAAGAACAAAATAATTTTCTTATTTTTCAGTTATAGTTTGGTATAATCACTTCTGCACTGTCTATCTTCCCTGGAAAAATCCAGCAAGTCATTACTGTTTTACACACTAAATTTCATACTGAGTTTGTAAAGCATGACGTATTTAATATGTGTATGATGAACACACAGAATATTAGTTACTAACTAGGTATTGCAAGCTAAGAAAATAAACATTTCAGTTAGGATTTAGTCTCAGAATATTTACAGATCAGCAATGGAGAAAATCTCAGAGAAATTAAGTAATATCATATAGGATCAGGAGAGAACCAAACTTACATTGACATATCTCCTTTCAAAGCCCCACTATTTTATACTAAGCCACAGTTTACTTTTAAACTTTTAAAACGAATTATAGTCAGGCTTTTATTCCCCTAAATAGCTATGTGAAAAATACGGAAAGAAATCAAACAAAAATGAATACAGCCTACAAACTATGAAATGAAAACTTTTTAATATTATACTGTTCATAAAACCATCGCATTGGGCCAGACAATACAGTCTTACACTAGCCTAACAAATAGCCTAGATTTATAAAAAAATTTACATCATCTCAGATCTCAAGAATGGATGCTCAAGTATAAGAACTAGAAACAAACAAACAAAAAAAATCAGTCATCAACTGATATTGCTCTAAATCTCAAGGATTTAATGTTCTGCTGTGGATACTCATTAACACATTACCACATTAAATTAATTATAAAACAACACATTTAATTCATTTGGAAAGTTTTTCATACATGTCAAATACACAGTGTGGTAAAGTAGGAAGATCATGAATTTTGGAGTCGCATCTGAATTCGGATACATATTCCATCACTTAATAGTTGTGGGATCAGGGCTAGGGATTTAGCTCAGTGGCTTAAGCATTTGTCTGGCAAGCACAAGGTCATGAGTTCGATCCCCGGTACCAAAACCAAAAAAAAAAACCCAAACAAATAAATAGTTGTGGGATGTTAGGCAAATATTTCTGCTTCACTTAATTTAAGTTTTACATAAATAAAATGCAAATAATATTACTGAGTGGCTATTTTAAAAATTAAAGTTAATAAAACATAGCACAGGGAGATATTTTAATAAATGACATACAAGGGGTGATCAAAATATGTGACGAATCTCCGTATTTTCAAAAAATATTATAGTGAAAGCCATATTGCCATTAATCTCCCTCAAAATATTGATATTCGCTACCAACACACTTATCCCATTGTTCTTGCAACTCTCTGAAGAAGTTCTACTGGTCTTCTTTCCTTACAGTATGTCCTCAATTCACCTTATCACCAGACCTGATACCATGTAATTTTTGCTCTTTCTCAAAGTCAAAATGACCACAAATAGCAAGTATTTTGGATCATTTCATAATGCCGACTAGCAATGACAATGCAACTAAAGATACCCATGAAAGTGGATTTCGAGAACTGCTTAAGAAAGCAGCAAGAACAAAGGGATTTGTGTCTAAAGAAAAGGAAATTAATGGCAATGTGACTTTTACTGAAATGAACTGCTTTTAATTTGAACATTCACCATGCTTTTGAGTCAAACCACATTAAAATCTTCAAATCTTTGAGTTTAATCTGAATTTGTGTCAAACTTCGCTCATTTGAAACAGTGATAATTTTTAACTGTTTTTCTCACTTTTTCCTTATACGTACTAAGTGAATTATACACATACTCCTTAATAAAGGATAGTTCACACATACTATTTTATAATGTCTGGTGCCAAAACAGAAAACCAGAAGAAATAAAAAGCAGAAAAACATAAAAAGATAAATGTTTCAGTTGTTAAAACATGCTCTATTTAACAGACCTTCCTATGGGAAAGGAAAGCCAGTTAGGATGGGTCAGTTTTGATGATTAGGCACTGCCCTATGCTTTAAGAAGAAATCTCTTAGTTCTACAGTCCCTGCATTTCTCAGGACTTCAACTGCATTATGTATTATACTTTGTAACTATACACCTCAAAGTACCCATTAATGTTGGGGAAGATCCAGCAAGACAAGGTTATGTTGGTGCCTGTTACCCCATAAGTCTGAACTTCCAGTAAGCATGGAACACAGCAGAAAATGGGCTTAAAAAGAAAAAAAGGAAAGGAAGGTAGTAGAAAATGTTCTACATGACACTAAATTATTGGTGGCAAAAATAAGCAGATCACGAAAAGCTAACATGCAAGTTCTGTAATTAGAAGTCAACTATAAATGCCACAAAATACTAGACAAGAATTTTTTTTTAATCACTTAAACTTCCTTTAAAATTAGCTTACCAGAATCATAGCTTGGAGGCTTCATATCTCCCTGATTCAATTCTGTCCCATATTTCAACTTGTGGTATTTGGCCCTAACAAAGAAATGAGAAAATATAAAGCATCTTAAAACATATTTACATGAACTTTAAAATACATAAAGGGAGTAGTATGCAGTAGTCCTAGCAAAACTTCAATCTATAAAGACTCACAGCCTTCCATGGAATGAAAATTGTAAAAGAAACCCTTGCCTTTCTTATTGTTATATCAAGTGTCATTGTAACAAAGTAACAGGGTACCACGAGGAATGTTAAATCTTTCTGTAATTACAAATCAAACATATACATTCTCCTTTCTGTAGTATTCATATTTTTTTATGACTGCAATTTGAACTTTCAGCAGATTTGGACAGAAAAATATACATGTAAGATTAATAACCTCTTTCAAAACTGAGTTTTTAAAGAAAATTAAAATTATCTATATTACATTATTAATATTTAAAGTATCTATAATATTACAAAGTACATGGGTACTTTGAGGTGTATTATCTGTTAAGCCAGGTAATTATGATTCACCAAGTATAGTTATAATATATCACCCAAGGGGAGCAAAAATCTAGTCAAAGGGGCTGGGGATTTAGCTCAGTGGCACAAGTGCCTACTTGGCAAGCGTCAGGTCATGAGTTTGATCCCTGGTACACACACACACACACAAAAAAAATCTAGCCTAACTAATGAGTGTATTTTTCCTAGCTAAGTTGCCCTTTGTCTTTTACTCAGAAAAAACTGAAAGGCCACCTCCCTGAAGTCAAGCCATGGGGCTGCGAAGGGCAGAATAATATAAACCACACACCTGAATTACTCAAAAGAAAGGAACATGAGGTTAAAAACAGTCAAAGAGAGATACAGAAGATATACTTCAGTAAATAATGCAAGTAATAACTAATATGATACAGTTCTCAGAAGACAATAATAAAAATCTAGCTGATCTAAACAAAAGGACACAAAATATGAATGATCAATTTAGTAACTAATTAGCATCCATGTAAAAGTTTAAAACAGAAATTCAGGATATTAAAAATTATACTTAAAATAGCAGAAGTGACTACTCTGAAGATGTCATTTCATAATGAGAAAACTGATACCTTCAGATATCAACCACTCAAAAACACCTTAAAAGCAACAAGAGCACATTCAAAACAGATCTAACAACTGTTTGATGAATAGAGTAAGTGAAAAATCAGTAAACACCACAAACAGCATTAAAAAAAAATCTATTCACAGAAATAACTGCAGAAAACCCCCAAAAGTTAGAGAAAAACTTAAACATGCAGGTAAATGAGGCATGTAGAATCCCAAATAGCCACAACCAAAAGAGAAGCTCTTCATGCCATAAAGATACCAAAGTCCATCACTGGAGCAATATATTAAAAGCCGTTAGAGAAAGACAACAAATCACATGTAACAGTAAGCACTCAGAATTATAACCAACTTGTCTACATATTTAATAAAGGTCAGCAGGGTCCGGGGATTTAGCTCAGCAGCACAAACGCCTGGTCCTGAGTTCAATCCCCAGTACTAATGAAAAAAAAAAAAAAATACATGAGATAATATAGTAGCCACTGTTCGTTCTATTACTTGGTTCTGAATTCCCTGTAATACTGTCATTCTCTTGAGTGGTTTTATACTATTTTATGTTTGATACTATTGTAATATGAAGTTATGCTCCACTATTTCAAAGAAACATTATGATAGTTACTGTTAATTATGGGTTATTTTGTGATGAAATATTATGTTGATTACATTGTTCTGTTCTGATCTGCTTTGTTATGTCCTCTTTTGTCAATCTCCGTAAAATAAAAAAAATTGGGCCTGGGTATTTAGCTCAGTGGCATAAGTGCCTGCCTGACAAATGCAAGGTCAGGAATTCAATCCCCGGTACCAGAAAAAAAAAAATAAATAAATAAAATAAAACAAAATTTTAAAAAATGCATACTTTAATGTTATGCTGGGTGTGGTGGCTCACACCTGTAATCCCAGTACTCCAAAGGTTGAGGCATGAGGATCATTGCGAGTTCAAGACCAGCCTGCGCTACAAAGTGAGCTCAAGGCCAGCCTGAACTGCATGGAGAGACCCTGTCTCAAAAAAGACAAAAAAATGATAATAATAATCATAAATAAAAAGTAAGTAGAGAGGGAGCAAAGATGGCAGACAGATAACATCTGGCTACAGAGGCTCCCTGAGATAGTCAACTTAGAATTCAACATAATACAGAGTGGGGAGCCCCGAACAGAGAGAGATGAATTCTCTCATCCCAAGAAGAAATTTAAGCTGAGAAGAACCAACCAAACATACAGTCCCAGTGCTATTATTAGAACAGCTAAAGGTTCAGTGTTCCCACCATAGCGGGTGACTTGCCGAGCTGTCCAAGGTCCCACTGCTTTGACTCAATGGAGGTGCAGTAACACTGAGTTCGGGGGTTGGCGAACTGAACAGAGAGCTAAGTTGGCAGGGTGCCTACACCAACCTGTTGTGAGTGGCGGGAGTGGAGCCATTCCATTGAAAGGGGGGCTCTAGCGGATGACATTCTGGGACCCAGCAAGACTGGCAAGTACAAGGGGCAGGAATGACTTCAGTCAGTTGTTCCCTTCCCGAACGGGATTGGTGGAGTGAGCCAGGCCTGGGTCACATGACCTGGCTGAGACCCAATAGGTTATCTGAAATCAAGTCCCTTACAGCAGTGGCGCACACTAACCACACTAACCCAGCTAAGCCTCAGAAGTTTGACTGATTTAGAGGGGAGGCAGCACAAAGTAATACAGTGCAGGCGACAGCAGCTTGACTGACCCGGAGGTGAGGCGCCAGCATACACTGTCCCTGTCTGCAACTCACTAGCACATGGCAGTGGGAAGGGTCATGTAGCCAGTGAGCTTCAGAAGACTTGTAACCAAAAAAGAAAGAAACTGGGGCCTCCTGGAAGAAACAAAAAAGATGGGAAGAGGAAGCAAAACATAAAGTCCCCAGGTCCCAACTCTGAGAACACTGACCCAGGACAGGTAAATACAAAGGAGAATGAGAACAGCAAACATGCAATATCAGACACGGTGCCAGTGGACCTAAAGAGATATATTTGGGACCTCACAGGTGAGTTCAAAAGGGAAATATTTAGCCAAATAAAGCAAGACATAAGAGGATTAACTTAAGAGATACTAAGCACCCCTCAAGCAGACACAGATGGAAGAAGGGAGGAACTCAAACAAAAGGAGAGAACCATTTGATGAAGAATATAAAGAAACTATAGAATACATGAAGCAGATTCAAAGAGATTACCAAGAAATTAAAAACTCTATGGAAAGATGGCAAATCAGCTTGAAAGAAACTAAGGATAGATTATCCAAACTGGAAGACAATTTTGCAAAGTGGGATTATGAAAGGGAATACTTTTTAAAAATAACAAGGAAACAAGCAGTAACACTACAAAGGCTAGAAGATGACAACAGGATCTACAACTTGAGAATAAAGAATGTGAATGAAGAAGCTGAAGTACAAACAACAGAACTACAAAGGTTATTCACAAAAAAATTAAGGAAAACTTCCCAAACATGGGAAAAGGAAATGATATTCTGATATATTAAGCGTACAGAACTCCAGCCACCTACAACCAAAACAGAGCTACATCCATGCATATAATAATCAAGATCCCAGAAATTCAATACAAGAACAGAATATTAAAAGCTGTTGAGACAAGAAACAGATAACCTATAAAGGAAGGTCCATCAGAATAACGGCAGACTTCTCGACACAAACCATCAAGTCAAGAAGAGCCTGGAGCAAAATATTCCAAGCCCTGAAAGAAAATAACCTCCAGCCCAGAATGATATACCCTGCTAAACTGTCTCTAGAAATTAATGGAGAAACAAGATGCTTCCAAGACAAAGAGGAACTTGGGAAATTTGCAACCACCAATCCAACTCTACAGAGAATACTGCAGGGCATTCTAGAGAGACAAAAAAGTACCAGGATTCCAGAAACAGTGGCTGAGAGGCCTCAATGAATGGAGCAGAAAACAGAAGGAAGAAGATAAGCAGACAACTGATGGCAAAAAAAGAGCATAACACAAATGAGGCAGAGAAGATTTTATTCAAAACTGGTATGATTGATTTTATCAAGTCTGAGAGCATAGGCAACTACACTGAAGATGACAAGATGCTACAATACATTCTGGTTTGATAACTGCCAGTTTTTGAAGTTCTATACTATATACAAAGATGTGTTTTTATTAATACTGTTATATACTGATATATTCAATTATACTATGTCTGATGATATAGCCAATTTTATTGGAGATAACAAGAGACAACACAGGAACCATGGTAGAACTCTTCGTACAGCAGTCTTATATGTTTATTTCATTTCATGGGTTTATAGGACTATGTTTTACTTTGTCTTGCTTTGTTTTGTTTCTCTCTCTAATACAGAAAGGATAGAAATACATGTTAAGACTCATGCATGTGTAGAATGTATAAACAGTTTATGAGAACTGATCTTATGACACATGATGAAATGAACAGATACTTTGAAGAAAAAAAAAAGAGACACTAAAATACCCAGTGCTGATCCTGGAGTGTCATAATGTGAAACCCAACAATACTATTATTCTTTGTTCAAAGTGATATTAGCCTGCTTAGGTTTATTCAATCTCAACATAATTGAAGATATGGATAACTGCATGTATGTTTAAGTGTATAGGATTGATAGCCATATTTCTAAGTTTTGGTTGGATAGTTGAACAGAACTGGTTGCAACCTCACTGTTTGAATCCCCACTTTATGTGCTCCACTTTAGTATCTTGAATAACTATTTGTAAGAAGACAATCTGTAATCATCAACTAGTGATTTCTTACTGTTTATTTTTTTCTTTGAAATTATGTATTATTTCTACCCATTTTCTGTTTTGTTTAGTGTTTCTTTAAATTAAATTAAAAAAAAGACACTACAGTACCCAGTGCTGATCACAGAGGGTCATGATGTGAAATCCAACAATACTATTATTCTTTGTTCAGAATGATTTTAACCTGCTTTAGTTTGTTTAATC